TGATTGCAATATGTACGGAGTCCCGGTTAATATTGCGTAATTAGAAACGTTGGTTCAATTAAGTTACTACGGTGTTAGGTTACACTGTGCAGGATGTTTTTAGGAAATTAGCGGTTGGTGAGCTAAAAGGGACTGTAATTACGAGCAAAATGTTCTGATAGAAGGGGTCACTCTGATATACAAGGTGAACCAATGAAAATTACTATCTTAAATGGGTCTGGAACTGTAGAAGTGAGAAAACAATTTTTTAAATAATAATCGTTCTGTAAAATAATCATTTAAACCACTGATAGAATCTGTTGCACTAAAGAAACTTCCTTGGAGAAAATATCCTAAGTAGTAATGCAGATATTTAATGCTCTACTTGATATATTCATAAATGCTTCGATTAAAATTGATTAATAATTACTCTTTTATTACTTTATGCTTATTTTTTAATGCATTTACGCAGTAGCACAACAAAAATGCAGAAAAGGGAAAATGCAGAATTAATCTGTGCATTTGGACTAATCTTTATACATATTCAGCTCACTCGCTGGTAAAATATTTATTAAATGAAAGCTGCTTCTATGTATGTAAACACGATCCCTGGTTTAAAGCCTGAATTAATACTAACACGCGACCTATGCTTTCTCTCGAGCAGGAATAAAATTTAATCTCACACGTAAAGATCAATTTCACATTTCATTAATCTTCCACCGATACTGAAATTTATATATACGCAGACGCTTTTATTATTATTGGTATTCACCTGAATCATACACCTGCGATATCAATATTTAAAGATAAAACCTTATCCAATCTCCTAAATTCATTAGAATTTTCGAAAAGTATCCAAGTCCATTTCTCATACGAAAAATATAATTAACACAAAAAAATTACCTTAGCCCTCGGAATATACTTAATCAGACCCGGCGACTAGGTCAATTATGACCCATAAAAAACGATATTTATTTCATTGCTGCTCAAACTGTTTTCAGATCACGCTACCGATTTATGAAATTCATCGAAACATGGAAACAAATTGTATACAAAATAGTAAGTAAGAATATGATATAAATTAAAAAATATAGATTGTAACTCTGTCCTCAAAAACACTACGAACTTTCCCGACGACCTGTTATAATCCCCTATAGTCATAGAACCACATTTTACCTCTATCCCATCAAGACTCATGGATCGAAAGCATCTATTTAATATATCGGTTCCGATAAACCAACACCGGCGAGAAGACATTCGTAGACTTGCTATTTTTAAGATCGCGTCTGGGAAGCACTCTGCAGTCATCCGGTTGTTAATAATTCGATTCAATTATATACACCGAGTGGATCGGGTCTGCCGGTCCCTCCGAACGAACCGATGCGGCTATAATGCAACCGAGACTCGGCAAGGTCGCGCGGAAAGCGGCTTTGGTCGAAAGTTCACGGTATTGCGTGAGAATTCTATAGACGGGACGAGATAATGCAGCGCGGACGGCCGAGCCGCACGTGTATCGTCCATCGTTGCTTATTGCGAAGGACAAGGACACACAGTCTGAGCGATTGCATTTGTCAATATACGCGCTAATCTTCACGGATTGTCGCAGTCTTACGTGGTCCCCCATGGCTCGTCCCCGTGCCTACAAGGTGTTAATAAAAAAAATATACAGAAAAAACACTTTGTTAGTAAAATGCACTAACATGTGAAAAATAAATTTTGGTTGTTATTAAGAACATGATCCTTAACAACGATTTCAATGGCCTTGGCGACATATTCAATAGGCGTCCACGGTAATGGATAAATACAGTTAGTTAACAGAAGTGATAATATAGAAATTACATGTACAGAGTGTTAATAAAAACGTGATACTTTCGCAGGGTAAACTCTAGATAATTAAGACGAAAATAAAAAATGGCGGAATTGCGTTCGATACTTCGTTTCCGAGTTATTAATTGTTAAAAATAAGGGGAGAACGCGTAAAATTCGTCTTACGCGATGGATTATTCTACCTGAGAGGCACGGTGTTTAACTGTTTCACGAGTTGGTTTCATTCATTTCATTTTAGTTCATTCATTCGTTTCACCGGGTCATCGATTGAGCCAGTGTATTGTATCAGCTGGAAATCCGCTGTTCGAGAAGCACAATCAAGTTTAGCACTATTTATGCGTTACGGTAGTAAAGCTCCTAGTACAGAATTTAAAATTCAATGACAGATGGCAGCGCTAGCTAAAAATGACTAACAATCATCTTTAGCGTTTACTATCGATCATACTGTATTCTGATTATCGATTCACGTCAAGTTATTGCGAAAAATGAATGGTATCATACCTCTGTCAATATGGACAATGGTGATGATAAGAATGTATAAAAGAAAACAGTGCTGGTAGAAGCAAGTATACTTTCATACACAAAATGTCGATTTTGCAATGATAGTCAATTTATTGAAAATACGAACAATAAACTTCCTTTTCATCGACACTCTGCGTAAATATTAACATGAGTAAAAAAAAAAATTAGGAACGCGCCAAGACACATACACACACCCAACGTGCGAAGTGCTACGCAAATATGTACCGGACGACGAATCCTCGATCTAACTTTCCTGAAGAAGGAAGTCTCGTGTATGAAAAATTTCACTCGACATTCTAGTAGTGTTCTACCTACCAAGAATACCACTCCACGGTCGCGGCAACGATTTACTGGACACCTTGTACGCTGTCGTGGCGTGTTATGTATTAAAGCGTATCGCGAGCACGCGAGCCGGCTTGTCGCGCTTATTCTGTTTATGCCTTGCGGTTTTCAGGGGGAGGGGGGTAACGACGAGTATGTTGTCACGTATTCCCCAGTTAACACTAACAACCAGTTCAGACGATACGTTTTTTTTTATATTACTGATTTAGTAAACCTACCACGACCAGTCAAATGATCGATTTTGTCATTCTAATTCCTGCCTTTTTGAAGAGTTCGGTAGATTTACTGGTAATTACACGGTGTCTCAAGTAAAGACACCGAAAAAAAGAAAAGAAAAAATCACCTCTTGGACGTATTGAATATTGGTCACGAGACCAGTCGTTCCCGCGGAACCGACGAATCGAGAAACGAACCTGAAAATGCTCTCGGTGGATACTCTGCGGTGAGGCGGCTGATCGATACTCGCAGAACCTTTTATGGGACTTGTAAATGCGAGGTATAGAGGACGATTCAAGAAAGACGGTCGAAGATGTTCTTGGTGGTAGCAGTTACTGTTGGAGCACAGCTGACGATTGAGGGGTGAGAGAGTATCAGGGCTTAGAAGCTTAGGGAAATTCAGAGGAAATTGTGGATGTGGATTGCCTGAACAGCTGATGGTTGAAGGGTGAGTCAGTGATTGATACCACACTGGTTGTTTGATAATTGCAACCCTGATACCTGGTAGGCCTGAGGAAATTGGGAGGAAATTTTGGATGTCGACCAACTGAACAGCTGATGGTTGAAAGAGGAAGCAGAGGTTGATGCCACCCTGACTGTTTGTTAGTTGCAATCCAGATGGGCTGACTCTATCTGCTTAATAGAACGCTCACTCTGTATGGAACAAACCTAAGATGGGATTTCCTATCAGCGTCTGAATGGCTACTAAAGCAGACGTTACCCGTCGAGAACAGTCCAACGAAACGAGAAACAGATATAAGTCGTACTTCATTTAAACGCAGACTCACCCGTCAAACGGTTATATAGAAAATCCCATCTTTACTCTGCAATAGATGACGGGTTATACTGGCGGAGTAGTGGCACAACTGATGGCCCTGACAGACCCTGTAGAACCAGCGTTTCGTAATAGAGGAAGGAAGGTGTATGAATAGGACGTAAGTGCAGTAAATCCATCAGCTGTGATTGGACAGACAATACAGCGGTGATATTCAAGCTGAGCTCCGAAATTTAAGCTCGTCACCGTGTCCCGGTATGGGTCCCTCGTGCTGCACGTTTTCCTTCTATAAGTACAAGTCATAGAATGCATATTTAATGCTCGTAGAGTGGGGACATGCCGGAAGATAGGCCCCACTCGTGAACATCACTAGGCATACCCATCAAAACTGGAACACTTAAATATCTTCTTCGTTTCTGATGATAAAGAAAAAGGTTGAAGGCAGAATTTGAGAGGTTTCAAAGCTGAAACTCAGACTCTAACGGAACACGTTGTACAGCAAAGTTTTAAATCATTTATTCACTGTGGTACTGGGTGACCAAGCGAAGTCAAGACTTGTGAGACTAAAGTAGTGAATGTGTTAACTGCAAGCTACTCAAAATGTTCCTCAGGTTCTGATCTGACGGCCGATAAAACTCTATCTACTCTTTCAAGTCTACGACACATTCTATCAACGTGAGTGCAAGTTCGACGACCTATTAACGCAAGATCACTAAAGTTAATAAATGTGTAATAAAGCAATCTTTGAAGTGTATATTGTTTTTCACCAATCTGAAGGTTCAATATTTTGTCGAGAGAAAATCGATAGTGTAAAAACATACTTTCAAGGATCTTTCACTGTACACTCACGACTTTAAAAGACCTTGTACGAAGTAATGTGAACAAAAAGTGACGTTCTATCGAGAAAAAGGAGAATACTTTATAACAGTCGTCTGTTGGAAACTAATTGTAAGTCAGTTTCTTTGAAGCTATTTCTTAGAGTGAATTACTCATGAAACAAGGAAGTGTATCACTGGTCGACGACACGTAATCTTCGGTGATTAGTCAACGCGAATACTTCTGTACCTCAACGCACGTGGTGCAACGTTGGAATAGGTTTTTTTTATGACAAAGAAAAAGATAGTCCGAGTTCAATATAATCAGCTTTGCAGATTACATAGATAGTTAGTACTTTAAGATAATGTTTCGTTATACATTTTCAGTGGTCAACAGTGAAGGAAAAACATTTTCTTAATTTTATTGTGTTTTACACGCTAACATATACTCTGTCCATCACAAAATCATCAGTCCAGTGATGACAAATCGGTAAATAATGAATATCACACAAAAATAAACTCACCTTGATGCCGCTGCGTCCCTGCTGCTTCAAAAGAACATTCTCCGGCTTCATATCGCAGTGGATGATTTTATTTTTGTAGAGAGCGTCGAGGCACTGCAGCAACGAGTGCGCGAACCTCCTCACGAGCTGCATACTGAAGCCCTGGAACTTGTTCTTCTTAATCAGCTCGTACAGGTTGATGCTGAGCAGCTCGAAGGTGATGCACATGTGGGAACGGAACGTGAACGAGTCGAACATATGAATAACGTTCATCGTGTCGTCTTTGTCCTGTTCCCTGAGCTTCCTCAATATCCTGATCTCCTCCTGGGCCTGACGATGGAACCTCTTCTCGTTTCGGACCATCTTCAACGCGACATGCTCGTGCATCTTGTGGTCGTACGCCTTGACCACTTGACCGAACGAACCACGGCCGATGCCCCGGAGCACCTCGTACCTATAGGCCACGTGATCGTGCGCCACGTGGATGTAGGAACCCTGATCGTTGTCGTAGTCGCAATTGTTCGACCAACCGATGATTCCCTGTCTCTTCTTCGCGTTCGCCCCGATAAAGTAGATTTCGGGATATTTATAGATCTCCTGGTGCTCGTACTCCGTCAGCTTGTCCTTGTATACCTTCATCACTAGGTCCGGGGTGACGGTGATTGTTTTCGGCTTGCAGGAGAGACCGTCGATCGAGCTGGCATCGGGACGGCCGTTCTTCACCTGCGCGGCGCTAGACTGACCGTTCGGCTGTGGATGCGAATTGTGAGTGGAATTATGGCTGGAATTGTGACTGGAGTTGTGGCTCGAGTTATGGCTCGCGTGGGAGCTCAGGCTTAGATTCAAACTGTCCGAGTTCCCGGTCAGACTGAGCAGACTGTTGTTCGCACTTGAGCTCAGGCTCGGCAGGTGAGTGCCACCGACCATGTGACCTACGGAATGGGCCAAGTGACTAGGCGACGACTCACCGGCCGGCTGCTTCAGGGACAACGTGCTGGCCTTCAGGGGCGGCAGATGATTGTTCTCGCCGGACGAGATGTACGTCTGCGCCGCGATCACGCTCGCGGGAACGAATTCGTTCGTTCGTGACAGGGGCATTTCGATCGAGCGACGCTGTGATCGTCGACTCCGCCCCCTAACTGGAACATTCATACTACACAACAACATGTACTTTTACGATCACGATTATCATCGCTGATAAATGAAAACACACTTCTATGCCGAACACGTTTCTCTTCTGGGTAGACACTGTTCAGACGTTAACGGTGTGGCTAGCGTGTGACGGTGAACGTGTTCTCTCGCTCATTTGTGTCCATCCGACGATGATTTCGAAGCATGCAACATCTCTCAGTGGGATTGGCTGAGATAGATCGGTGACAGCCTTATTAGAGTATTCACTTTCTCGTCCAGGATCACTGCTCGGCTGTAGTCATCGTAGTCACTCGACGATAGTTAGATAGACCCTCTTATAAGATAAGGAACAGTCAGGTGCATCGATGTAGAAAAACCCTTTCAGCGTTTTGCTACCGTCACGGTTGCTGTGTATCTCTTAATACCTTACAATGTATTGTCGTTTGGATAAAAAACATATTGGTTCGTTGGTGTTTACCATATTACTCTCAACGCAATAATTATTGCTTCGTCTTATTCAACTAGGGTTCCCGGAATCCACCTTCAATATATAGTGATTCCGCTTGATCCGCATGGACGATTCGTGTCGTCGGTGTGGTGTTCTTTCGAATAAATTATAAACGATTTCGAACCGCGATACTTTCAGTCTCGTTTAACGTCAGTGAAATGCCTCGATGTCGAGTCTCTTCGTGATTAATAATAAAGTAAAAAGATCGTGTATGTGTGTGTCTGCGTGCGACGTAGCGTCGAAACGTGTCCAAAATTATGTTGCCGGCGCAGGGTCAACGGATGTCGTTACTCGTAAGCTGCACGAAGGAACGTGTTTCGATCCTAAAGCGCGCTGCGCGAGGACTCACGATGTGTGAGTGATTCGAAGGATAATCGATCGTCTGAAAATATTTGCCGAGCAACGATAAAAGAAAGAGAAAAAAAAAGATTCGTGAAGGCTCTCTTCCTTGATGTGTAAATGCAACGGACTAGAAGCTGCGACGCAATTCTCTCAGCGACAAGGGAGCACACCACGTTCGACCAGGGGGATCCTGTTTGTTTTTTTCTTTTCGATATTTTTGCCACCGCGAGAAAACGCACCCCTCTCTGCCACACAGACAGAAACACGCGCGCACACGGGCGAAAAGAAACAAGAAGAACTATGAACCCGCCGGGCGTGACGTCACTTCCGACTACGACACACAGCTGTCTACCCCCCCGTCGGAATTATTCATCCGACTCGTATTTATTTCCCTTCGTCGCTTGACCCTTCGCTCGTTACCATCGGCCAGTGTCTCCACCTTCTTTACGGCACGGAAACGATGTGCTGCTCCTTTTACCTTCCCGCGAGCCTTCGAACGTCTAATTTTATAATCTATCGCGCACGAGGGCAAACGCATCGTGCGAGAACTGTCTACCTCTCCTAATTGGAGGTTATTGGCACCGGACCGGCCGAGTTTGACCACTTCGCTCCATCGAGCACAGTTTATTCACACGTCGATACGTAATCTCCGACGTGAATTCGAACCGTTTTTTTCCGGGTATTCTTCTGTAAATCAACGCATCGTTCTCGCTTCGTTGGCCAATTAATTCACTACCATCGATCTCATAGTCACTGTGACCAGAGGCGTCGTGCAATTAAATTCAGACTGTGCAGAATTTTAGTCGTCGTCGAAATGCTTATTGTCGTCGATGGATCGTATCTTGGTTGGTCATTAATGCCTTCTCCAGTAGCGCTCCTGTGTGAATCTCTCGCGGAACTGCTATTATGTGTAATTAGAAAAGCTTCTCAAGTCTTCTCGGGCAGTTATTCGTCGAATCAGATGAATGTTGCGTATTTACAGGATTAGTTCCTTATTCGCGTATACTTGTCGCCAGATCGTTCACATGTTCCATATGTATGTGTGTGTCAAAATTGAAGAAAAATTGTTTCCTCGAGAAACGGTCTCGAACGGTCGTCGTCACCGGCATCGAATCATACGAAATTCCTCCGACAGCAACATATCACCCCCGCGGCGGCTTGAAGCCGAGATCGAGCCACCGTGTTGCCAGACGATACAATGAATTTCTCACTGACTCGGTCGTGGACCCCGCACGCATGAAAATCGAAGCAAACACCGCGAACACGACGAACCGTGGCCGCACCTTGATAACTGTTTACAAGCGGACTGTTCCTTCAACATTAATCGTGCAAACGCGTATTTTCCAGTGGTTCGCTTTTGTTCAAAGACGGATACATGCAAAAATCGTGTGGTAGTTCAAAAACGACGAATTTTTCTTTTTATCATAGAAACAAAGCACAAGACGAACGTTCGTCGCTTCTGGCACACTGACTGGCTGGCTGGCTAGCTGGCTGGCTGACTTCTCTCTCTTTCTCTGTCTCTCTTTCTTTCTCCCTCCTTTCGGTCGCCGTGTCTTCTATCTCTCTCGCGCAGCCACCATGTTTATTCTTTTTGTACCCCTGTTAAAACGTAGTGTCAGGACGGTTCAGAAGGGGTAGATGACCAGGCAAACGGATAAACAGCCAGACCAACTATCCGATGCACGATCCTCCCGTCTATTTAACTTCGAGAAATGAAAAAATGGAGAGAACCGACGCGATATACGGAGAATTTCCGTGGATCTTCACGTTTAGGCGACGTAGCCCGACGCTTCCGGTGGTGAAAACCCCTGCGTCGTGATTTCTATGATTATTGAGACGCGACTGTCTTTCATTCCTACCGTATCCCCTCGTATGGCTATATATTTAGTGTACAGGTGTTTTTGTTGCCCCTTCCCTTTCCTTCGACGTCTAGCGTGCGTGCATTAACGGAGCTACACATTCAATCCCGATGAGCGATGGGTACGCTTTTCGAATCGCGTTTAACAACATTAATCCCCGATTCAATTCCGGCACACGTTTCCACAGAGAAATCTTTACACTCACCGAAGCACTCAAGGCGCGAGCACTATTTCTCTATTCATAAAGAAACGCCTGCTGCGACACCCACGCATGCACTCTCACGTACACGGACGGTGTGCTTGCCGCACGCACAGATGTCCAGACGTATTCCTGTTTCGAAGCAAAGGGGAGGTCATAAACTATAAACTACATCTAGATGGCAACGCGCCTATTCTGTATTAGTTCTTCTTTATCCCACTGAACAAAACTATCATTGAGTTAAATACTTTGTGCTAATACGTTTCAAAGTATTTAAAATACTTTTACGATTCAGTTTTTGTTAATTCCCTCCTTTATAAGCAACAAAAATTTGTATATATTAAATTATAACAATACTCTGGCATGAGAGGAGCGAGGGGTCATATTGTTATGACTAAGCTATAGATTGTACACATTTATGACATATTTAAAAAAAAGAATGAAGCAAGTACTTCGGTAAAGATTAAAAGCATTATTTCTTATGGTTTATAAAATTATGAATAAATAGCATAAACGCACGTAGTTTAGGCATGAGTCATGCCGTTCTTGTATGTTATCTTACCTATGACAAAACTTCGCTTTCAAACAGACAATGGAGGAAAGTTTCGTTGTCGTCGAATTGCGTCGCATGCAAGAAGCTTGATGCAGTCTTAAGGGGGCAGCACTTGACAACACGATCATATGTTACCATTGGTGTCCACAAAGCCTAACCTAAGCTTTAAACAGTCAGAGAAGAGACTGGCGTTATTTTGACCCGTCAAGAATACTTTTATAAGCATACAGCCGATATCGTGAATAATACGTCGTAATAATTGATAGAGGATCCAAGATGAGTTTAACACCAAAATCATTTAAAGAAAAACGCTCTTTTGGTAAGTATATTCGTTTGTATTGAATACATTTCTTTCGTGATATTAAATAAAAACTAAACAAAATGTAGATAAAGTATTCTTTTGTGATGTTTTTGTTTGCTTTACATCATAGTATACTACAGTTTCATTGATAGGTCACGTTACATACTCTTATATTGTGCTAAGGAAGAAACTATTCATTTAGTTGTAAATACACTTATTATTAATCTTTATTTGTACGAATAAGTTACATAATAAGTTTAGTACTGGCATTATTATCATTGTGAAGACTCAGCTATTTTAGAGTTTTTTTTACCTACATACATACTGAGATACGTTACACATTTATTTTAAAACTCTAGCACAACGAGTTGCTGATGTAGAATTGATTAGAGAACAACATCCAAATAAAATACCCATTATTGTCGAAAGATACTATGGGGAAAAGCAATTACCTGTCCTGGACAAGTCAAAATTCTTGGTGCCAGATTATTTGACAGTAGCAGAACTTATAAAAATTATTAGGTATGACTTAATATGAATTTTTAAATATTTAGAATATATGTGCCTGATTAATAATGTTTGTTTGTTAATAACAACTAACAGACGTAGGCTACAGCTTCACCCAACACAAGCTTTTTTCCTATTAGTAAACCAAAGAAGTATGGCAAGTGGTAGTATGACTATGACACAACTATATCAAAGAGAGAAAGATGCGGATGGTTTTCTTTATATAGTATTTGCTAGCCAAGAAGTATTTGGGCATTAAAGTACAACAATTTAATATATATGTAAGTTTAGATAATTACAATGAAAATCTTGATTTAATTTATATTAATAATGTATAGGAGTAATATTATTGCATTTATTTAGGATTTTGTGATTTATAGGTAAAACCAAATTCCTTTGGGAGTACACTATGTGCTAAATATTTTAACAGACCTTTAGAAGGAATTTTAGATCTGCTATTAATTGTATCCGCCTTTAACCGAATACGCAGAATCTTTGTGATCAACCTGCAGTACCTGCTGAAATAATTAACAGAACAATCACAATTGACATTTATGTGTAAAATCATTAAGGTGCTTTGGGTCTTCAGAATATGCATCAATCATATTTTATATGTTAAAGGATAGGATTAACTTAGTTTCTTATTAATGACAGTACTTATTATTTTTGACAATGACAAAGGAAAACAATGAGGTATTAAACATATCTAGTGGATTCTTAGTAGGTAAGAAAATTACCTAAATATATAAATTTTACGATTTGTCAGGATTTGTTCACTTCCATGTACATCTTATGAATGTAAACACTTTTAAATGTATGTAAGGTGAAATACTATTGTATAAATGTTATACAAGTAGTGGCCAGTTGTATTCAACAACTTGTACACTGTACCTACAAACTAATATGAAATCAAACATTGTTGCTATATCTTTATTACTTTTATGTGTTTTATGTGAACAAAATTGTAGCACTTCTGCTTGTTTTTGTTTACTATGATATAGCAAACAATTGACAGTTTTAGTGAGTATGTGAAGTTTAGATAACAAAAAGGAAAATGTTTTATGTTATTGACAGTAATATCTATGAATGAGAATCACTTTTGCAATGAAATCTGTTATTATAGCAAGTCACAGAAAGGTTAAAGAACGTGTTCACGTGTATTATTACACAGTATGCAACATATGTTGGTATGTGATAATGTTATTAGACTTGAATCAATTTTACTGACTACTTGTATCAGGAAGTTACGATTCATTTTCACTTATTTTTAAATAGTATGGACAGTTATGCACTTAAAATTAGTAGTAGTATCTTCTGTTACCTTATACTTGCAAATTATGAAAATTAATATATTAACTTATATCTTAATAATAAAAAAACTTAAAAGCGCACTTCTGACTTTGATTTTGATAGAAGTAAATTAAATAAGAAACAAAAGTACCTGGCATTATGATCAATAACAAATACAATTGATTATTGTACCAATAAGACAATTCTACAAGACTTAAAAAGCAAACAGTAGAAAATAACTTGAAACTCTATAAATTTTGTTAATGACGTCTGTTGTTTCTCAGTGTAAATAAATTATAGCATTTTACAATATGAATGGTAATTGCGCAAACAGTAACAAAATAATAAAAATTGTACAGTTTTATGTTTTGCCAGCTACCATTTAAATTTAATTATATTTGAACATTTCAAAACGATATTAGCATATTTTCTAAAATAATTAAAACAATAAGTCATCTTTCATCTTGACTGATTACGTTATTTAAGTCCTAATTTAGGCACACTAAATTTTATGGGCGAATAACAAAAAAAACAGGGCTTTCTGCAAATATTATTAAACATCTGTATAAATATAATAGTGATGTAATAATAAAAATAAGTTAGTTTATTAATTCATAAGTAAATGTATATTTCAATAATGGTAAAATATGTTATATATTAGTAAATATAATATTAGCTATTCTAAATACTGGCAATATAATATGCTTCATTAATTCCTGTACAATGAAGTAGTGTATTATGTAAAACATTATTTGCAATAAAGAACTTTTTGCAATACACAGTATTATTTTAATACAATTTCTTCTATAACTTCCCAAAGTTACAAAACAATGTTTAAAGGAAATTACGATTAAAATTTTTTACACGAGTGACAATTTCTTTTATCAGAAGTATTTTTAAAAATGACAGAATTAACTGTTGTATTATACAATTACGTGTAAACACTTACGTCAAATAACCATTTTTGTGAAATTCTTCCGGTACTCGTCTTTGACATAGTCCTTTTCCATTCAGATCAAATTTAAATACAAGTAATGGTCACGCGACAACTTCCGTTTCTATCATGGGGACATTTCCTACAAGTAGTTCCGAACTCCACCGAGAATCCGGCGCGACATACAAATTCTGCAACAGAGGTTCAAAATCGTCGATCTGTGTGCAACCACGTACCAATGCCAGTAGATGCAATGTCGGGTGGGTATAAAGGTGAGCGGTGGGGTTAGATACGGGGGGAAAGAGGTAAAGGAAAGGTAAAGGTTAGAAGAGGTTATGAACTCTAACCCACCGATGGTTGACGAAGCCTAGTTGTTCCTATGAACTGTCTAAATGACGCGTAGTCGGACCAGTCGTCGTTGTTAATTATAAAGGTGAGTCCACCTAACAATTACTTGTTTACTATTGTTTAGCTTTTCGTTACCTTTCCACCGATAACGATACCAGAGATCTCGAACTATGACTCGCCCACGTCGTACCAATTCGTATCTACACGTCCCGCTTAGTACGTTACACTTCTACAAAATGTTTATACCCTTTCACAGGTATAGACTATTAGTAAATAAAAGATCTTAGTCCCTTAAGGACGGTCCAACTATCATATGATATTTTGACATTACCATCATGCAGTTTCGTGTTCTGTCGATAATAAGTCGCTTTTTTTAGAAATTTTTATTCGTTTTCTGTACAGGTGAAATTTTGATTTGTCTTGCATTCTTTATGTAAATACAGATTGAGTTATTTATGCAAGGTGTATTTGAAAAGAAAAACGAACGGTTAGCTTTTTTTTGTTATAAATATGAAAGAGGACATTTTTTAATAGCATAGCAAAATTGTTGTCATTATTCCTTATCTTTACGAACAAAAGCGGTGACGTCATTGTAAATTCTTGCAAACCGAGCGTGTAAACTAAAGGAAAAGTGAATTACTTATGATTACTTGAAAAAAAACGATGCACAATTAGTAATGCAGTAACGCAATGAGTAGGATTACAAGTTAAATCTGTGTCGATGCGGTGATCAAGTAGGTAGGAGGTAACCTTCGGACCCACGGGCGACCTTTACCTGTGAAGTCCGGTCGTATAGAAATAATTACTCTCGAGTGACTATTCTTCTTCACTGATGCCATTCCAAGAAGTCTCTAGGTGACTTGGAATGACCACTCGAAAAGTTACAAAACTTTATATTTTTAAAAGTCAGTAACTATAGTTAACGAAAATAAGATATTTATTTTAAATAATCTGAAACGTCGCATTATTTAACCAAAAATGTAACCGTACTTTATCACAGCTGCTTATCATTGTTTGTATTCTTTACATAATTTGCATCGACGTTTTGCGTTTGTAGTCTTAAACATTACATTATACAGTCTTTGTGACTACAGAATAAATTATTTGTAATTAACCAGCGAATATTTGTACAAATTCAGAAATGAAAAGTAGACAAAAATTCATTTTTTATACTAAATGTTTTATTATGTTAATGCAACGAACATATAAATATTATTGAACTTTATTAGGTTTTATTTTACGACATTTTGCAAAAACATTCAGGATTTAGTAATAAATAGCCCTTATTTTTATGTGTAAGTATATTCTTGATTTATTCTTTTGTTGTATTTATTCTAAAAGAATTACTCCGAAACCACGAGTTGTTGTTTTAAGTTTCACCTATCGCAAAACGAAAAACAGATATGTTCTGCAAGAAATTTCTACGGAAATAACGTTCGCACCTGAAAAAGAAAACATGCATAAAAGTGTTCGATACCGCGTATCTATATTTTTGCCATGAACAGTTCGTGTTTGACCTATTCTCAATCGACGCGACGACCTCGAGCCTCAACCGATAAGTCATCGCGGGCGTGTATTACGTGACATAACCTGTAACGTTCGTCGAGAGACCACTATGCGGTCCTCCACGGCGAATGCTCTCGCTCAGGTAGAAAAGCAGGCAAGCGGGGCGAGAATGCACCTGGCCGGTGTGTCTTGGCGGTACACAAGAGAGTGACCTGCCAACCTGCCAGTACAGCGAACGGTCTGGCTGCGTTCACCTGCGCAAGGTTGCCTTTAAACTTCGACGTGGTGTTTTCGTGTACGACCGTTCGAACGGGCCAGCGAAACGATTTCCGTACACCGTTAAATTTGTCATTCTTCTCGTGGCCTTTGTTCGCCGTTATAGTTTCTCAATTTAAAAGCGTCATTTCCCCTGAAATCGCGAACAGATATATATTTTCCGCGCGTATTACCGCGTGGCTGGTTACGTTATATTTTCAGAACCGTGCGTGACCCGTGAGAGCGCCACCGCCGTCACACGCAAATGCGGCGACACAGGTCGACCTAACAGGTAGTGTATTGTGCGTACTGTCCTCGAACTTTAATGTAAGATACGTCGCGTGTTTTCTAAGGTCGGCGTGAAGGAAACGCTAGTCGCTTGATGAAACATGTCGAACGACATTCTTTCGAACTAGCGGAGGAATAGAAAGAATAACTAACGAATTTATCAGAATATTATACATCAGGTCCCACACTTTCAATCCACGGTGACCTTTACCGCGTGCGTTTAACAACCGTAATACATAATTGTTGTTCTTTGGACATTTTATCGTGGTGCATGAAATTCCGTAAACGATACCGCCTCCCCGGAACGCTTGCGATAAAGACAAATAAAACACGTTAATATTTTTAACGGTGACACGTGTCTAAGCGGGTCAATGGCTCGAGTTTGAACACAAAAAAAAAGGAAAAGAACAGGTGTCAAGTTACTACCGCGGATTCTTGTTCGGGAATAAAAAAAAATGACGTTGAATTTCAAGCGTGACACTTCCGTGAGATCGGATACGTGTGGTAGTATTGATCACGAGGATAGAAGACTGAACACTCGTAGATGTGTATTGAAAAAAAATAAGTCGAGATCAAATAAAAAGTCATAAATATGTGTATCGTTGCATTCGAAAGTAGACGTGGTTCCTAAGTTGAAAGTTTATTGTCGTGATTAGAAAGGGTGAAAGAGAACGTTCTTGTAATACGATGTAATGAGCGCAAGGTCTAAGAATGTTAACTATTTCGGAGCAACGGTACAGGCACCGTTTTCTCGTGTTACTGCACTGCGACGACGGTGACGAAGTCGGATCACGGGTGTATGGAAATGGACCATTCGTTCTATGACAGCCAGTCTAGCATGGACTGTGTAGTATCGGCATGTGCTTAACCACGTAGCAATCTACGAACCGAAGAACCAAAGCCCATCTCTTTCACTTCTTAAAATGGTAGAGGGAAAGGGTTGCGGCAGGTAGGGGCGGACGGCAAATGCTCCAGTTTTCATTTTTATGCCGTGCCGATGCTTAGGCCTTTAAACGATACATTCTGTTTGCCTAGATCGGGATCACACTATACATACTCACGACTCGCCCGATCATATGAGCCTCTCAGAAGCCAGACTCATTAACTTCATGCTCTGTAAAATTTTGTAATTTACGATTTTAAATATATTTAAACTAACCAAAAATTAAACCAACATCTTGGAAATCTACCGTATAACATTATTTAACTAAACCAAGCAATGTCTATTATGTATTTTCATTACGTTGTATGTCATGGAGTTCATCAGTGATGGCTACTGTGAAGTTTATATTCATGCATTGTTGCGTTCTAATATTCGAATGTTATGCAGTCACCTGAAAAAAATATTTTTTCTAGCACTAGGATAGTAACTGAATTTAATTACAATTCAATAAAGATTTAATAGATTCTAATGACAAAAATATTATTTTAACCCCCCGGTATATACTCATCCGCATATCTTCTGATTTATTTGACATTCTAGGATCTAATAAGTTTCGGTTTATTTGTAATTAAAATGTCTAAGTTAAGAATAATTGAAAAATCAAAAACTTACGTTAGTTATTATTTCTACAAATATTGCGGAATTTGAACGGCATATTTGCCTGCGTAGTATACGTCAGTATTCGACAAGTGGACACTGATTGTTTGGGAAGCACGTAACGCGCGTACCGTGACGTCAGCGTAGAAATATTTTTGCGATGTGCGGGTAATTTCGAGAGTTCTATAAGAAGGTATCATTATGTTTTGTTTTACAGGTAGACATGGACAGGGATCGTAGGGAGAAGCACGATCACGATAATTTTAATGAAAACGAAGGCGATCGAAAAGTAGTAATGGATTTTCGTAATTTGTCACATCATCATAACGTGGATCATGCAGCTGACGCTGATGCGGAGGTGCTTGTCGTTTGCACGATTTGATAAAATGAAATTATTGTAAAAATAAAGGAACTGTAATTATTTATGGAACGACGAATGAAACGTTTTCTAATGTTGTGTTTTGTTTATTTTAGCGGGACATGGATGTTGATCAGAACGATCGCGTTGAGAATCTTCACGATGATAAAATAGATCAAAACATAGGGAGGAATTATCATAATTTAGCGCATCATCCCGCTATGGTGCGTTCGAATGTTCTTTTTAATAAAAAAGTAAAGTTTTATAGTTTGTAAGATAAGTATAAGCGATCGATCTTATAAATATTCGATATATTTTTAGAGAGACATGGAAAGAGATCAGAATAATCATGTCGATAACGCACATGATGAAAAAGTTGATCACAAGATTGGGAGAGATTTTCGTAATTTAACATCGCACGCAGGAATGGTTCATTTACACGCTGGGATCGAGCATTTAAATAATGTCGACGTAGAGGTACGTTTATTACGTATTTATTTTCACTTGGATTTTTAGAATCATTCTTTAGATATCTGTTAATCATTGTGTGTATAATCTTTCAGGTAAAATTGGCGAGAGACGTTCGTGGATCTTTAGGTTTGGGACTGTCATTAGAATTATGCGTAGTCTGTGGTGATAGAGCTAGTGGAAGACACTATGGAGCAATAAGCTGTGAAGGCTGTAAAGGTTTCTTTAAACGTAGTATTCGGAAGCAGTTGGGTTACCAATGCAGAGGAAGCAAGAGTTGTGAAGTTACCAAGCACCATAGAAATCGGTGTCAGTATTGTAGACTTCAGAAATGTCTTGCAATGGGCATGAGAAGTGACTGTATGTTTCTTTCAAATTCTTTCACAAGTCTTCTATGTATAATAGTTAAAATAATTAAAGTGAAGTGAATTTTTTAAACAAATGTTCCATAGCCGTTCAACATGAAAGGAAACCAGTATTGGGAGAATCTGCAGGGACAAAAGTAGGAAATCGAAGCCCTAGAGTTAAACCAGAACCGCAACAACCTGTGTCTGAAGCTCCTCCAACCTGGGAACAACCCGAAAGTCCCAGTATGGAAGACCAAAGTAGTGATAGTGACCTTAGTGATGCTTTAACGTTAGCAAGGGAACGTTTACTTATTTCACATGCTTTGGATAGCATGACTAAACTTATTGGAGATGTATGTTTCTCTGTTTTTTTAATTTAATATATACTGATATATGTGTATTGATATTTCGGATGTTTCTATTATTTTTCAGAGTGTTAATGGTTCAAGTGAACCAGAAGAAGAATGGACTGGTCAGTTAATATCCGAAAGGCATACGCTATTTGAGTTAAGAGCGCCTACTCCAGCTCCTGCGTATTTATCAATACATTATATTTGCGAGAGTGCTGCGAGATTACTTTTTCTTTCTGTTCATTGGGCAAGAGGAATTCCTGCGTTTCAAGCATTACCGTAAGTAATGAAACAGCCTGAGTGCTAAATATAATCGTCAACATGAATAGTGAATTAAACAGCACGCACTTTTTAGATCCGAAGTTCAAACAACATTGGTACGCAGTTCCTGGGGACAGCTCTTTACATTAGGTCTTGCACAATGCGCGTACACTCTGTCGCTTCCTAGTATTCTAACATCAATAATAAATCATTTACAAGCTAGTATTGCACAGGAAAAGATTACTGCTAGCAAAGTAAAGTCTGTCACGGAGCACATATGCCGATTGCAGGATTGTGTTAGTTCACTTCACAAATTACAAGTGGATTCTGTTGAATATGCGTACCTTAAAGCGCTAACTCTTTTCAGTGCTGGTGAGTTAAATAGCATTTATGTTCTAAGAGCATACAAAACGATTTTGTTATCATTCAATTGTTTATTCTTTTTTAGATAATGTTTTGGCGGGCGTTTGGCGTAAGAAAGTGGAAGTTTTACAAGAAGCTGCATGGACAGAATTGCAACAACGTGTGGGATCTGACCGGTTGCCGCGCCTTCTTTTGAGACTTGCACCGCTGCGTTCGATTAACCCTAGAGTTTTGGAAGATTTGTTTTTCGCGGGTCTCATTGGTAGAGTAAGCGTAGCAAGTGTAGTGCCTTATATTCTTACTATGCACGATTACAAAACTGAACCTGAAAGTCACATGGGGTGACAATTACTATCCGTGCAATGCAAGTCGTGACCTAACAAAGTGATATATACGTTAGTGTTGAATGCCTTAAATATTTTTATACGCTGAGAAATAGAAGAGAAACGAAACGAGGCAATGTTAATCTTTATTTTTCTTGAAAGGACTACGTGCCTCTTATCAAATAAAGTTGAAACTCAGGGTAGTATTTTAACTCGTTAATCAGATATAATATCTAGTTTAAAATATTCTGACGTTTAACATTTTTTTTTTATTTGTTGTAAATTCACTGCCTATTGTACAAAACTTTCCATGTTGCACGGACCTTTTGTTGGTAAAAACATGTTAGTATTAATACAATATACAGTTGTTCTTAACAGCGACTTAATATTATTGCAACTGGCATAAATTCATTATTTCATTTTAATTCTAACAGTATTGTAAATTATAATAGTAAGATACTATGCGTTATATACGTTACGTAATTTTCTTTCAAACATTAGAGGGAAATATACGTATCTGGAAAGTTTTGTATTGGCATATAGTTTAAAAAGAATACACAGGGCAATATCACTATACTTATAATTTATTATTAGTGACAGATTTTACCTTTAGCCTTTAACCGAATTAGTAATTTTGTACTTTAATTGAAATGCTTTATTTATCGAATATAATTATTTTTGTACAGGCTAATTGGAGAAAGAGAATGGTTTTTTAAAACTATTATTTTAGCGTTATTGCACAAACCGAGAAAGAGAAAAATCAAATCACGTATACATTGGTATCTTTGGACACAATCAAAACGGTAAAAGTATAATTTATTTCCGTCCGTCAAGAAAAATCACAAACTATAGATTATTCAATCTGTTCGGTTATGTTACATGAATATTGTAATTATTATTTCAAGAAACATAAAAAGTATAAATTACATAAGTATTAGTACAAAGAAATCGCATATTTCCGTAATTCTATTACTAATAAATCGGAATATGCACACGTTTTACTTATTTTCCTAGAAATCGATCATAATGCTTGATATATTTCTAGGCTGTGTTTTATTATACATTAAGGGAAGGATAATGTATAATGTTTCGAGTTTCTCTTAAAATCATAGAATGTGCAATAGTACTAATTGGTGCAAAGTTAAAAAGAGGAAATAGCCGTGCTTTATTTCCGACATACCGAGGTAGATGATTTTATATCATAAATTGAATTGCATTGATGTTTGTACGATTAAAGTGATACAGTATGGTTTAAATTTATTATGCAATCAAGTATTATTTACTTCTTCGAAAATGGACAATAAAAGTATATTTTTATTAAAATGGGAATTACTTATCGAGCTAGAAGACGTGAAAGAATCATTGTATATGCGTTTACTTAAATGAATGTACATTTTATATCATATTGTTAATTGTAGTTATATACATTTAATATTGAGTAATATTCAATGGACATAGATATACTTACATATATTATTTGTATGTATTTGATGATAACGAAGCAGTGAAGGTAGAATTAGTATATGTAGGATAAAAATTATAATCTTGTGTATTTAATGTTAATGTTTAGATCATTGATATTTTTGCAAGATATGTTGAGCCAAGTCGTTAAATATTGTTGAGCTATTGAGAATTGTTAATGTTCATAGAAACGTATCAGCTGGTTATGAGATTTCCATCAACATCCACATAATTGATAAGCTTGTACTATACTTCTAACAATGTTCTATATCTAGGTAAACCTAAGTATCCTTTTTAATTCGATAATCCAAAGATTAAACAACAATACATTTGTTTTTTTTTACAGATATTCATGTAAATTATACTTGTTGACTAAAATCTGATTTAATCTTTAGAAAATACGACTAGTATGTAATAATTTAGAGTCAGCAGCAATTTTTTCATAAAATGGCATTACAGTGCATTGTATCAATAGTGGTTTTCTTGCATCTTTATACCTGATATTCACATTATTACATTTGTACTTCACAGCAGGAGGACGTGTACTAGATATTACTATTTTGCAATGTTCCAATAGCAAACCATACATGGAAATTACCTTTTGGAAGTTGGTAAATTTAATGTGATACAATTTTTACATGTGAAATACTTAATGGACAATATTATTAGGAAAGATTTGACTTGTGTAAGAAAGAAAAATTGTATTAGACCTCTGTAAATATAAGATCTGTGCCTGAATGAGAAAAAGAAGAATATTTATATTAAATATAGTAGTTTTGTAATTATGTAAGTTATGAAATGCGAGAGACCTGAAGATTGTTGCTCCTTCAGTTTTATTATATCAAAGTATTGTGTATATACATACATGTTTAATTGTGGTATAACGTATAATTGAAATTTAAAAAAAATAAATAATGATTTAGCTTCTAGTATCGTTTACGTTTACTTTTCGATAAACCGACATGATTGGAGAGGGGAGGCCTGGCTCGCGGAGGAACCCAAATACTGATCGCATAGAGTCGTCCCTGTGCAGTGAGTCACATCCTAAGATTGCTTGTAGAGGCGCTTTACCGCCATAGCCGCATTATCCGTTAGTGTTTGAGAATTGGTTTTTCGTATGAAAGTCGGAGTCGTTGAGTGGACTCGAGTTCAGTAGTGGTCGGTCGAATGTACGGAAAGTATGGTCATGGAAAACGTCGCGCTTGGTTAAGATACGTTATTATTCTGCTTCACACGGCAAGATAATCCGTTTCCCCAACAGCGCCACCGAATATTTTAATCTTCTGTAAAACCGGCTATTCCACGACAGGTAGACAGGTATTCCAATCTCCTCGATCGTTTGAAAGTTGAGTGACACACCTCCGAAGGACTTTGTCTATCCTGATTTTCTTACGGAAAATACGTTAAAATCCGAATAACTTAAAAAACATCTACAAACATTAATTCTTAACATCGTCACATACGAATTGTGACTCAGTGGTACATATATTGTGATAATAGTTATTCGTACAAACAGTATCAAGTGCTTTCGTGACAGTGTAAAAAAGGACAATGTTACAATAGTAGTGTATGTCCTTCAATTTGTGCCTTATATCTCGTGGCGGGAAATTGGTTTTGAAGAAGCAAACGTCATCAGGTATGTTAAAGCATCACAAAAATTAGCTTTGTACACGATCATGCTAGAAATTGTTTATCGTTCTTTTTTTTCACTCAGATTAATTGCAGTGTGTCGTCAATATATTATTTCGTTTGCGTACGTCATATGCAACCGCTATTTTGAGTAAATCGTTTCCGTCACTCGTTTAAATATTTGTAAAATATAGATGGCGAATTTGGCGGTGCGTATGAGTCTATGCAAATAGCTCAACCACGAATCCCTTTGTGCTTTTTCTAATTTGTGTTTATCCTGGCAATTTCGCGAATCTCTTGCTGTGTATAGCTTGCGTAACAGAAATGCGATTCATCTCATAGAAGTGTTGGAGAACATGTACCATTGCGTGTGTCCGTCCTTAAAATTGCTTTTTGTGTTTCTCAAAGTAATAGCTTTTTTGCACGCTTCTTTTCATCGACAACCAACTCATTCATTATAAACGATGAGTTTCACTAGTTTTTTTATCTTCAGTTTTCAGCTGGCCTTCCTCCATGATTATTCTTCGGATATCGAGATTTTGAGTTGCGATTAGGAAAAAAATAAAATATTCTTATTTTATTCGACGACGCGGAGCTCACAGTTTACCTATAACCACCACCACTGGCTGTTCTCTCGCCTCCGAGAATTCTTTGGAGTTTCGGCTTTCCCGGAAGGCGATGCCTTTTCTCTTCCCATCAGCGATCTGATTAGAAATTTTTGATACTTAAAAAGCTACACAAATGCCGAAATCGGCACACAAGTGGACATTCTGGAGGTCTCTGTCATATTTATTTTTATTTCTCTCGTATCCATCTTCCGACGTTACAACGATAACGATAACGATAAATCCTAATTAACAAACTTATCGAAGTATTCCGAATCATACGTAACGATAAGCATTAATGCCTCCATTATTCGTACACTTCTACCGTTACGATCATAACAAATGCACATTGTTACAGTAACGGCGATAAGAAAGTTTTAAAGGGGAACATGCTAACAATAACAGAAATAATTTAACCGAGAAGATAAATACAGTCAATTTGTGGCGAATATATGCAGAAAATGTTAAACTTTCTTCAAATCATTACTGTACTTAATCCCGCATCGAAAGATAGTTCAGTACATCGAAAATATACTTTGTCGGTCGATATGCATATGTATAGTGCCTAACGTTTTCTTAGTCCGTTTACCTGCACGCGCTTACGAGCGCCACACACATTCGATGCTCACGATTGGTAAATTCTGTCGATAATTTCAAATGCACCAATCGCATGCGTTGAACTATGTTCTATGGTTTAACTGCAATCGATTGAAAGTGGTTGTGTAATACGTAGGCATGTGCGTATATACGTAGAAACACACACGCGCGCGCGCGCGCGCGTGTGTGTGTGTGTGTGTGTGCGTGTGCGCGCGCGCACGTGTGGTTGTGTACGCGTACACAATATTATGACTTTCAACTAAAAACTTAAAACATTATATCAGACATGAACCATTTATGTAAGTTTATATAAATACAAAAAACAATTTCTCATCTCTTATGTATTCGAATAACGACGTAAACTAAACTTTGTTGACAGATTAATTAATTTACCGTATGTAGTGATGCTAGATTCGATAATGCAAGTAAATGTTTTCAACAGAGCGTCATAATCAACGATATATCGATTTCTGAAATAATAAGAAAAGTAATATTTATATGTGACGCGTCGATATATAATACATGTTGGGTACAACGTAAAGAATAAGATTTGCTCAATGAATATTGCGCATCCAATAACTTCAAAGATAAAGTAGGCGCCGTTCCCTGTACGAGCGATAATTTCGGTCGCCAGTGACTTCGTTTTCACCTGTACTTACTATCACTTGCGTAGCGTATTCAGAAGTGTCGACACGATATATGCTATCGTTCTAAGGTTTTTCCTTATCTAGACGTCGGTTATATCGGTTTGTTACGTTTTCGCGTTTCCCATGAAGTGCCTTGATTTGCTCAATATATTATTTCTGTTGGTACAACCAAACATCTATACTTACGCGCGAACGGTCTTTCCAGCGACGATGACTAACCGTCAATTATCATTTTAGAAAGTGCAAGAGGTCAGCCGGCGAACAGACCGAGGTGAATGAAAAGGGAAAGCGGAAACGGTCAGCGGAAACGGAGATCATCGAGGTGCCGACGAAAGAGAAGGAAGCCCCGAGCTTGGAAATAAGACGGAAGACCATGGAGCACACGCTCACAAGGTGTGACGCCCGTTTGCCCAAAGTTACACCGATCACGGACGACTACGAGATTAGTAATCACGTGCTCGGTCTTGGGATCAACGGAAAAGTTGTTCAGTGTTATGACAAGAACACCAGGGAAAAGTATGCGCTCAAGGTGAGAGATAATTGAAACTCCTTCATGGAAATCATGTATCTTTCGGTTTCACTTCCGCCAATTAGACAAGTATGCGTGGGGAAAGTGTAACGTGTTGACGAATTCGATAGTCCACTATGTTTCTTACTGTAAACGAGAAAGTTTTTTATGAAAATACAAAAAATACGTTTCTCTTTTTCTTTAACGGACAAAGGTACTGACGGTATTGTTTTAGTTTTTAGTTAGAAATTGATCGCAAGTTGAAAGTTTACTCTGAATCATTTTAAAATCTCTCATAAAAAGAATTATATTCAAGGCTTGCTTTATACACAGCTTGTCTCACATTTTTTTATTTCTCTTGTTAGCAGAGGATATGAACTTCCAAGAATTTGTTATGTTTATTATAATAGATCCATTGTATTTTTCCATTGTAAACATTGAAAAAGTAAATTTTTGTTTCTAGTTTCTAATTGAATGATTTCAAAAGCAGTGCGTATATATTGACGTGCTTTGTTTGCCTGTTTATGTGGCACATGCAAAGTGCGGTTACCATTCGGTCCTTCATTGTGAGTTGCAACTTGGTGAAGGTTAATTAAAATTTCACGCACGAACAGGCGAACAACCGTGTTTAAACGAACGGTTACAAAGCCCAGGCGTGTTCGAAACAACGTATACGGAAAACGACGGATATTATTTTTTATGGTACCATTTCGAAGCGTTCGCGTCTCTGATAAAACGTAACAAACAGAGTTTCGACGAAGGCTTCGAGCTCTTATCAAGAGAGACACGAAAACTTTTATGTACGTATTTCTGCACTCTTAAGTGTAACATGACACGCTCGTCCTTGGCTATTTTTGGAACGATACTCTGCAGATGAATCCGATATCGGGCATTAAATATGCATTTTCACATTAGTGGGAACAGCCTATATCTCAGGGTGTATCGATGCCTCCTTAACGCAACGGAGTACGAAGATCGACTAAGGATGTCGAAGCGGGACCAGACCGCGAGTCATCCTCTATTTATACTCGATGATTTCCCGTTCGACGATTCCGGTCATGCGATATATCGCTGAACCCCCAGCCTGTGCCTCCTGTTTTCTTCGTGTCTTCTTCGAAAAATTCGTGAAGCCACGTATTTGTGGTCTTTTCGCGGTTGATTTGTTGTTCTTGGGGCGGGGACCGTTGGCGGGAAAACTTTCGAAGGATGAACGGAAGCGTCGTCAGACAAAAAGAGTTGCGATTCAGTGACGCTATTGCCAACGTGGTCATTGTAGAATCAGTATTAAGGGAATGTGACAAAACGAAAGTTGTGGTAACTTTGCTTAGTTACTCAACGCGAATCTTCTGTTGCATAAACAAAATTGTAAAAAATACAAGCTAGGAATAGACTGTAAATAGGCGCATGCGTACATGACGCACAAATCTTTTTATTTACGAGACAGAAACATGGGTTTTACAAGAAACATTCATTACTAGACTATGGACGTTATGCATTCTTAAAATATACGAAACGCAATAAGATAGATAAAAATTAATAAATTCCTTAAACTTTGACACATTTACCGCCGTGACGATGACCGATATTGAACTTTCCGTTTACGTCTCATCGATCACTGGTGAATGATATTTTAATGTAAAATCATGCAATTGACGAACACGAAAAATTAACTAATGTATGCACTAGCGGTGAACGGTGTTAATAAAATTTTAATTTTATTTCTACCATAATAAAATCTTCAGTAAAGAACATACATTCCAATGTACTTTAAAGAAGTAGGAATTAATTTTCAAAAAAACCATGAATATGTATAAAAGTCAGTAGTATATTGATTAAACGATGCAAATACACGGAATGCCAATGATCGATTGTTCGAATCATACGATGGTCCACAAGTAAACACGCGACCCCGCTGTCAAATTGTTTATAAATTATTTTCAGTTCTTGTTTACTATACCACGAAATTCGATTTTGCCTTTATCATTATAACCGAAAAGATGTGTATCAATTTTAGACCGGAAGTTTCAGTTTGTTCACACGAATTCGTGAAATTTGAAAATATGAAATATAAATAAGTGTGTAAAATGGGATATACGGTTATGCAATTACGTATATATGTATACAAAATCATATTTCCTCGTGTGTCATCATTTTACTTGGTGAAATTTTGCCAATGTAACATTCTTGACTGGCATGAACGATTGCAGTTATGTAGGGTGCATAGTTGTCACAGCTCGTTTAAGTTTATGTCTCGAATATACCGGTTTATTTCTTTCGTGCTTGGAAAAGTAAATACGCGCTACATAGGGAGAACGTGTACATGTATGTATCTGACTGAATGGATAAGAATAACTGATAAAGCTTCAACGAAAATATATCACTATTTATATAGTAATGATGATCTCATATTTGCTAACGTTGAACAGTTGATGCCTTCGACGATATTGATCTGTCCGACAATCTATAGTTTGAGGTTAATATCTTTCCAGATAGATCAAGAGTTATTGCCAGTCAGAACCATTAATATTGCAGATATGGCGAAACTGTTTTGCCATCATTTTCACGTTAGACGAACGTGTTATTCAAATATGGTCCCAAAAGGATAAATTATTCTGACTCGACTGTATTATCAGTTATAAATGTCGAGATACCTGGCACTAGGTAAATGATAGTGGTTGAATGGGGTACAGCTATTATAGGATTATTAGAGCAACATGCACGCATAACTGATCTCGACGGATAATCGCCTGGGAAGGCTTTATATATAAGTACATCTACGTAGTACCAGAACACTTGATTAGTTGGTATATTGTGTTGCGTCTATTTACCAATTACAAATAATTGCTCCTACATTTGGAATAATTATTTCATGACATCATACATTGAATTCATCGATTGTATCTTTTATCTAGGTTGGATAACAGAAGATATATGTATAAGAATGCGTAATGAAATCTCATACGCGTATGTGATGTGTTAAAAGTCAATAGGTTAAACAATAATAATATATACCGTTATAAAAGAATTTTATTGCACATCATAAGGAAAATATCGTTTCAATTTTTCACGGACTTCCGAATTCTTCAGTCCGTTCGATGATACGGATTCGCACGAAACGAAATTTAATGGAAATTCGTTCCACAGATTCGATCGAATTATTGGAGTTGAGCCCACGTGTAGATTGGCGAAACAGTTTGAATTATGCCGGTTGACCGTGAAGAAATCTGACAGCAAGGACAATAAATCTGTTATACGAACGGGATAATTGGAAACTTCGTTACGACCTTCGAATTCTTTCGTAGCAATGTCGAACTGATACGGCGCTTTTGTTCTATGATTCGATCGAAAATTAGGTCGTTGCAGTTATTATGCATCGATCAAGATTATTCGCTTTTTTTCGTATGTGTACTGTATATTTTTAAAATATTGAGACAATTTATACAAGTGAGCGCAAATGAAATGAGAAGATGCAGCGAAGTTGCTCCGTCTAAGCTTCGCCATAAAATCAGTACATATGCCTTACTTATTCAAGTAAAATAGCTCCGAGCATTCTCTAGGTGAAAGCTATCGAAATTGTATTTCCGTGTCCCTCAGAGAACAGTCACAAAAAAGTCAATATTTGCAAAGTCACTCAAAATCACTCAATATTTGCTAGTTTCCCTTTACGAATATGATTGACTACCTACAGTCTACCAGACAGACTGTTGTGTCGTCTTAGTTTGTTTTTATATTCCTTTGTTTCCTTTTAGCCGTTACATTCCGAGAATCGTCTCAATTTTTATCTCTCGGTTCCTTTAAGAACGGTTCGTTTCTCGTTACTACGCAAACCCTCGGTGGAACTTTTGCAATACGAAAAGAAAGGGGGAATGTTTTCACGGTTTTTCATGTAGAAGTGGTTAACTATAAACATTCGAAGAAAAACTGACAGAAGCAACATTGGAATCTGTCAAACATTTATGGTACACTGACGTGCAAACTCGGTTTCCGCTGGGGAAAAACGTGGCGTAGAGAAAGGGCCACCAAACATTTAGTTTCGAAAGTTTCTGAAATTTATGCCAAATTAACATTCATTTTAACATCTGTTTCAGTACTTGAAATAAATTTACCAAGTGGTAGTAGGCCCTTACCCTATGCCACTTTTTCCCTTAGCGGAAGTCGAGTTTGCTCGCGAGAGTACATACAAAAACAACTCGAGTATTTAGTGTCAAAGAGTGAAAAATCGGGTTTGTTAGATCTTATATCGCTAACTAAGGGTTAAAAATGAAGCTCCGTGAGACAGTTGCAATCTAATTGGATTAGCGTTCATGTAGTCTGGTAGTCTAGTTTTGTTGAAAAATAGTCACGCTAAACCGATCAATGTCAGTTACAAATTTCTCCATTTTAGTATTTTCTTTACTATTTGTTTCTAAGTATTTTACATATTTTAATATAAAACGTACATTTTAAATAATGTACTGAAATATCGTTAAATTTTCTTACTATTTGTCGTGAGATCAATTCAGCTTCTGATAGGCTTACATGTTGAGGCCTACGTGTGAGAACCGGGAATGCGACAATTCAGGCAGAAATAGGAATTCCAAGATGGAATCTTCCATTGTTAAACTGGAGCGGTAGTAATGGTATTCCTAATTCCAATGACAGGAGGAAAAACCAGATGGTTTAATATTCATTTTCGCAGGCATTTACGTCACATTCCAATCAGCTGGCGACGCACGTATTAAGTTTCGCGTAAAATACCTTCGTGTAGGACGAGAAACGTACATACGTATAATCTAGTTACCCAGCCTATCAACCGTAATTCCTCGCGCACATTTGTCCTGCTCATCCCAGTAATGGGTATATGTCACTCGGCGAAACGCTAATCTCATTATCACGCAATAATACGAGACCTCGTGTGTTCACGGCGCGTGACTAATGTATTTTCATTTAAGACCGAAGACTACAGGCCATTATGGGAATTCGCGCGCATTTAAATCTCTTTAACAATTAAGAATTATGATGTCGTTAAAAACTGCTGTTTAAACAATTTTCCCGCGCTTTGCATTCGAAACTCGTCCGTTCGATAATAATGTAATTTCAAACAACTTTTGTAATTATTCACGTCGTCTTTTGTTTGTGTCGATTCAATATTAAATTTTACATTGCAATTGAAATTGTTCCATGTACATATATAATGTTTATGATTTATGATCTATTCCGTCCGTCATAACTGTCACCGAGTACAGATTCCATGAAGTGTACTTCGAAACGAAACCGGTTTCGACTTTCTTTTCAGTCTGTTTCCCGGGCTTTAATTGTCTTTGAATATTTTTAGAACACGTAATATACCCGGCGCACTAAAAATATACCACTTAACCGCGGGGCACTCTTTTCCTCTTTCCTCCTCGATACTACCATGTAATTTTTTTAGGGTTTCTACGTGTAGCATACAGAAACATGAAAACGATTTTTACAATATCATCAATTTCGAGTCAATCATGTATAATAATTGAATTCGAATATTTGATTACTACTAGAAGAATAATACCAAAGTTGATTGTAATATAAAGTATACTGTAATGTAACCTTTTGAATTAGGTAATGTGAATATAATAATATATTTGAACAATGTTCCCAATTGTGGCAACCGCAATAAAAGACGTTTCGGTCGGTGCCAGTAGCAGTTTTGGCACGTTAGATAATGCCTTTGTACGCTTTGCCAATTCTTTAAGCTCAGTGATATACATACGTCATGCATATATCATGATAATACATATATATATATATATATATATATATATATATATATATATATATATATATATATATATATATATATATATATATATATATATATATATATATATAATACTGAAGGCCACAAATTATGACAATAGTGTCCCTTGTTGTTAAGGCCACAAGGCTAACCCGGCTAACCATATTTGGTTGGTCAATCAGAATATGAATCACTGTAATCTTTATTTAGTATAATACAAATTTGAACTGAGTCAATGAAATTTGTTTAATTCTACTATAATTTTCAATATTTATTTTTTTGAGAAATTTTATTAGTTGAAGATAATATATTGTGGGATTTTTATCGATCGTTTTTTGTTCAAGTTTTCATTCCAATCTGATAAAAACCGACAGAATAGCGCGACAAATGCAGTATCGTGAATGGTTACATTTATCGATCGCATATAGTATTATCTTAACCGAAGAATATCAAGTATCGGGGACATTAATGCAATAAGCTTCATCGATTTAACGATATCGCTGCGTCAGCCGTTTTTGGGTCATTCACCAGCATTTCTAAAAACGGATGTAAAAGTTCACCTGCGTGGCAAGAAGTTTTTTTTTTTTAACACATGCTGAGAAACTGATATAACATTTACATATTCTTTTTCATACTGGAACTAAATACGAGTGATGCAACGCTCCGGTAATTCGCAAGTCACTGTTATCGCTTCCTATATTTATTCTAAATAACTAATTTTTTCAAAGATTTAGGTTTCACAAAAAACTTAAACTTTCTAGAAACAATAATGTGAATGCATCACGTGACCGAATTTTTGTAATTAGACTACGAATGTTTATGCAAATTTATATTTTTATACAATAAGTTACAGAAGTAAGAATTTAACAAAAATTTATTTCCCTTGTTTAGGATTTCATTACATTCAAAATATATAATTAACAGCATTATATGTATAGATGAAACATTTTCATAATCTGTTTTATCAAATAAATTTTTATGTGCAGGTGTTGTACGACTGCGTAAAGGCAAGAAGGGAAGTTGAATTACATTGGAGAGCATCAAATTGCAGGCATATAGTCCAAGTCAAAGATGTATATGAAAATACATATAGCGGAAATAAGTGCTTATTAGTTGTTATGGAATGGTGAGATTCTGCATATTTTAATACTAAGATCTTACTTTTATTAAGTAATGCTCTGTTAATTGAAAGAGTGAAACTAAATATATGTTACAAAATTTTCAGCATGGAAGGAGGAGAACTATTTGAAAGGATACAAGACAGACAAGATGGTGCTTTCACAGAAAGAGGTAAGAAAAGTACATTTATGCACAAATTTTTAATAAATGAGATCGTCTTGTAATTGTTTTCTGTAATTTACCTACAGAAGCTGCACAAATAATGTATGAAATTTGTGTCGCTGTGAAGCATCTACATGACATGAACATTGCACATAGGGATCTCAAACCAGAAAATCTTCTTTACTCCAGGCCTGGTACATTATTTCTTTGTCTTCTTCTACAAATTGTTTTAATACAAAGTTTTTATTGTTACAAATTTATTTATGCAGACTGCATATTAATTTTCAGATAGTACTGGAATTCTAAAGCTTACAGATTTTGGTTTTGCAAAAGAAACACATTTGAAAGATACATTGCAAACACCATGTTATACTCCATATTATGTAGGTAAGTTGTATTAATAGCTCCATGATCATTTTCTCCTAATTGTACTGTACATTTATCGTGAAAGTAATTAACAATAGACACAAGGTTAAGATAAACGATTACATAATTAATATTCTTTTCAAGCTCCTGAAGTGTTGGGACCAGACAAATATGATAAAAGCTGTGATATTTGGTCACTTGGTGTTATTATGTACATATTGTAAGTGAAAACCATTAATCAGTTGTACTTGTAAACTTGGATCAGACGTCCTGTAGCAAATCAACATTGTCCACTGTTTTAGATTATGTGGTTTCCCACCATTTTATAGCAACCATGGTTTAGCAATTTCACCGGGAATGAAAAAGAGAATTCGGTTAGGGCAATACGATTTTCCAGCCCCAGAATGGTCAAATGTAAGCACAGAGGCGCAAGATCTTATCAAGGGAATGTTGTGTACAGAGCCGGCCAGAAGATTACAAATCAGCGAAGTTATGCGAAACAAATGGATCTCTGTAAGAATTCATTCTACTTTCATAGAGAGAATGTTTCACACTGTAAAATCGAGAAGGAAGAGATTCTGAGTAGAAAAACAAATCGAAAATATAGAGTAACATGTTTTCATATGCAACTTCGATTTCGGGAAACTAAATGTTATACGACGAAATCAGCTCCTCCTCGATTACATCCACCTTGAATATCCAGATAGATGAATCCAGTGTATTTAATAAAATACTTTTCTTATCTAGAAACATACAGAGGTACCAGCCACTCCTTTACACACTGGACGCGTACTTCGAGAAGGCGAAGAACTTTGGCCAGAGGTTCAAGAGGAGATGACACGGTCTTTGGCGACGATGCGCGTTGACTATGACACGGCTAATTTGAAACAATTGGATCACACAAATAATGCATTATTGATTAAACGCAGGAGAGCAAAGCAGTCGAACGCTGTACCACCAACTGCTAATCCTACGCCTGCCTCCTAGGGAGACGCGACAAGAGCCAGACAGCACTGGCGTATTTTTTTACGTAGATGTATAAGATATAGTCTAATTACAGTGAGAATTGTTTTTTAACAATTACATTGCACGAAATACGACAGCTTACGGAACAGGCTAATTCTGAAAGAAAAGATATACCTGTATCGAAACGCAGGCAGCTAAATTTCACGCAAACACCATGTTATAACAAATGGAACTCGAAGATGATGCTCCAGCAATGCATTGCACGAGTTCGTATTGTTGCGTATTTATTTATCATCGCATAGAAATTTGTTTCCAATCGATAATTATTGGGTTAAGTTACAAATAACTTCAACCACAGGTGGTGAAGATAAAAGAAATAATGACTAAATAACAAACAAAACTTACGATTATTATATTTTAAACGGTGGAGAATATATGAGATCAATTTTAATGCTTTATAAACAAAAGTCGACAGCTATTTGTAACATATCCTAATAAATTTAAATTTTGAAGTCACTATTGTCATGATACATGCATGAAGAAACAGACTAGTGATAGGTGCATATTTGTAAAGGGTACTTCACTACACTTCAGTTATGGTGCATTTTATACGTCCTGTAGTAAAAATAGTAGTCTAAAGGAAATAAACAATAACGGAGTTAACTGATATAAAATAATGTGACAAGATTCAAGTTTCGTGGCCTACATATAGAATATAGAAGGTTGTGGCTATAAAATAACCAGACTGATTTTTTATGTCGGTTCCCCGTGGCGTTTGTAACAGCCAGCAGGTTGAGGTATTTACCTGCGTTTTTCCCTCTGTCTACTGTTAAACTTCCAAACCACGTGCAACCAACAGTTCCGCAGTGGCCTGTGTTTAAAGCAGACCACATACCTGAACTACGTTGGAAAAATGTTATTTAGTGTTCGTCGCACGTGGTTTGGAAGTGTAACGGTAGGTAGAGGGAACAGCACAGGTAAATACCCCACTCTGTTCGCTGTTCTCGAGGCCACGGGAAACCGACAAAAAAAGAAGTTCGGTTATTTTATAGTCACACCTTGTATTAGACTTTATAATGAACGAAGTCTATTATCTGAAATTAATGAACACATAATTTAGTAGCTATAATAAATTCTGTATTATTTGATCACTTAAAACATATTTCATAATGGTTTGTTTTTGTAATATTTAAAAATTATTATAATACTTTTAATTATCATAATTCACACGAAAGAAAAAAATATTTTACAAAACATTACATCATTACGCATAATTTTGAATTTGCATCCGTGTGTAATTGAAAGTCAATTAAATTATAAAATCAAAATTTAATTAAAAGATAAAAGAATGTAATTTTAGGAGATATTTTGACTGAGACTCACTATATGTAAGTATCTTTAAAATTGTGTCAAGGTGCTTATAAATATATGTTGCTGTAATTATTACCTACATATTAAAAGAATATTGTGGGATCGGGAACTCCATACCCAACAAAGGAGCAAAATAACATCTTGGGAAAATAGGAGGGTTCCGTGGAGTAGTGGGTAGAGAGTCTCTGCTTTCGGTGCCGGGGGTCGTGAGTTCGAAGCCCGCTTGGGCCCTCTCATTTTTCCAACGCTCCTACAATATGATAAAGTATGAAAGCTGTTTAAGTGAAAAAAAAACGTGTAATGAACACAATATATATATGAGTATGTAAACTTCAATTAAAAAAAATGTAAAAAATATATTCTGGTTAGATATATCATAAAATAGAAAGGAAATGAATTTAGATCGGAAAAGTCAATGTGAGGCCTATTTTTAGTTTAGTCCAATTTCGACTATAAATATTAAGTACTTCTATTAGGGGCAGATTTAATTTCAATCAAAGGGTGATCAAATCTTATGAGTGTGTTAGTGTTTTTTTTCAGATACGACTGATATGTTGTAAACTGTAAATATTATATGTATTAATTATTTTTAATAAGAGTATCCATATCTACATTAATTATTAATGATCAGTAATGTTATTAGTAGCCCTCCACATGTTATAAGTATTCAGAATGTTTCACGATTGAAAATAGATTTTGTAACTGATAAACTACATGAGAATGTATAAGTGAGATAGGGTCTCAATTTGTTTCCACAGTTTTATGTCATTTAATTAGACTTTATTTGCAATACTAAATTTGTATATCTTTATTTAATTAATGTTACCAGTCATGTGAATATAATGGTGTAACAAGCACCTGTGGAAACAAATTTTTGCAACATAAGTGTTACACGATGGTTGTTCAGCTCGCATACTATAATGAAAATAATAATGCTTTAATTAAAAAAAAAGAATCTTACGGTACATTTTCAGATCAAAGTAACATATGTACTTTTCTTATATAATATAAAAGATTGTTATGCTATTGTATTTGACGATATTGTGATAGTACAATTGTATAGATTAGAATGATTATATACTAGATAAAAACTATATTTAATCTTTATTCGAGCTGAACTAGAATATTGAAATATTTTTGTAATGGATTTAAGTCTGTTGGTCTGCATTGCATTTATGGAATTTGACAATAAATATACAAGGTGACGTTAATTAACATACAAATAGCTCATTTTGTTAATATAATTTTCAAATATCACTTCACAAAAGTAGTTTCTTAGAAATCGTAACATGAAATCAATAAGTTATAGTGTTATAAAAAAGTAAACATAATATCATTAGTATCACAATTTTTTAATTATATTGTTTTCATATATTTTATTCTTACATTGGGGTCATAAAAATTTAAATAGTTATCATTTTAAACCATCCAACACACTTCTTTGTATATATAAGTAAAATATAGCTTTTCACGCTATCTGTTAAGTTAATTTAAAGTTCAGTGATTTTGAAGAACTTGTGAAAGATTACATTGCCATTATCTATAAAATATATCATTGTTAAAGGTCAAGATTATTTTCCGAAGTATATAAATATGTATTTACATATAAAATATAAATAACTTACTTACGCTAATTACAACTAAAATAAATCTCATACAAATTTTTTTTTATAAGTAATTATTTGAATTCCACTATCATAGATGAGACATTACTCAATTAAGTATAATAACATTGGGCACAAAATATAATAAAGCATACAACTAAGTTTAAATTACACTTTAAACAGAGATAAATTTTTTTCTATCCACAACTTACGACAAATGATGACTAAAAAAGATAAAATAATACATTATATTTAATTCATACAATACAATAAACAACTATGTTTTATTTTGTGCCCTGAATAATGAAACCAATTTTTGTTGTTTGTCATGTACTTGCTGACAGTAGATCATACAGCTAACAGTGAATTCAAATACTATTACAGTTTTAAAAAATAGGTAATTTATAAATAAATATTTTACAAATTTTGTTATGTTAATATATCACAAGACTTTTTTCTTCTAGCAAACTGCCGCCTGGTTTATACGACTGTATTACTAAAGTCTAAGGTGGTTTAAACTTTATTTCTATTGATTAAGTGCTTTTTTTATCTAATTATAAGTGATAAAGAAACGCGACACGTGTATTGTAATAGCAAAGAGTACATCTATTGAAATGAATCAAAATACACACAGTATTGAATGTCCACAATTTATAATGTTTAAGAATTGCTCAATTTATTACGGCTGCAGGAACATTGAATTTTTTTTTATAAACTTCCTGTTTCAGTATTTAATTTCTTCTACACTTGCGCGTTGAAGAAAAAAACAATTATATATGATTTTACATATTAACTTATAACGCTCTATACACAAACTATATTTTAACTCTATAACATTAAATGCGACATTATCGTTATCGTTATTGAAATAAATCCGGACAATCCCCTTGCAAAATGATCATTTTATGGATGCAAGGCTTAAAATTAGAGTTTCATTAAGCTAAAATATTTTATTAGAAGCATCGTCCTTTGTATAAGTTTGCTAAGAGTTATTGGAATGTAAAGGAATAACAAATTTAGGTCCAAAAGGCGATCTGTAAGTTATACCAACATCTGCATATACTTTGTTTGGTAGTGAAAGATTACATAAGTATAATCTGCCATTGTCAACGCTATGAGACAATGGTAATCCACCAAGTAGACTGAATTTACTAAGTATGCCAGGTGTGCCTTTAGCTGGTGGTTCAATGGCTAAAATAGGTGCTCTGTTACTGCTTGCCCACTTTGCTATTGGTGTAATCATTCTCGGAGAATTTTCATCACAAAGTGCTACAAGTATTAAGTCTACTACTGATGGTAAATTCTTAACTTTACTATCTACCTTATTTCCAGTCAGTTTGTACAAAGACAATTCTTGCAATAGGAAAACGTCTTCAGAATTTTCTACAAATACTATTGTTTTAACACCATGACTAGATAACTGTCTAGCACAATTCACACCAGCAGCACCTGAACGATGAGGTCCACAAAGTGCAACAACCGTTGGCCACTGATGAGCATTATTCGGATTAAGTCTGTGGCTACCTCCTAGCAGCTGTAATATAATCTCTGCACCAGCACGGCCAAGAAGTTCCACCTAATTCATAAAATTTCATTCATTTAAAATGTCTAAAATATTTTACTAATTCCTTAATGCATTATACATACTCTTCGTTCCCAACTGATTCCATAACGATCTGCTGCTCCTATTAATTGACGGTGCAGATTAAGACTTATGCTGGGAATTATTAAGCCATTGTCTGTTACATATTCTTTTTCATCAGCACTGGGTACCATAATTTGTCTAAAAACTGTAGGTTCTGCAACAATAATGTTCTCATCGTGTCTGTATCTTCCAGTGGTACTCCTGTTATTTTCAGACTGCCTGACAATATCAGGCTTCAAAGAATTTATTTCTTGCCAAACTGCCTATTGAAAGTTTACACAACTATTAAACATTACTCCCATGAAACTGTTCTTATCAGAACTAAATACTTTGATTATTTATAAACAAACCTTTTTATTAAATAATGCTAAATTCTTCTCAAAATCAAAATCTTGATTTAAGGATTGATCAATTGGTGTACCAAATGTGTGTTCATCTCGTTCTAATGCTCTCTGTCTGTGGCTCAATCTTTTTTGAATTGGTTTACTAGCAGTTTCTACTGAAAAAATGTTTTCTATTAAAAATGGTTTATATTTAACAGGAAAAAAAGAATGCCTTTCAAAAATTGTGTTTCATTAAATTTCATTTGCATAATTTCTAGTAATAGACAAGTGCAATATTACATAGTAAAAAAACAGTTTCTTGAAATACATTGCATTAAATTATATTTTGTACCTAATGAAACTTTGCCATTTGTAGCTTCCTCTGTAAAACACTGAATATTGGTGTCCGGTTTTTTAAAATTAGATTGTGTTTGAGAAGATGTTGACTGAGTACAAGATGGTACACTTTCTGAAAATGATCTGCCAGCTCTTTTAGCAATGGGTCTTTTTACAGTCACTTTATTTTGTGCTTGATTACTATCATTTGCATTGACTCCTGTATCATTGATTGATATAAATTCTACATTTAAAATGTCTTTTGCACTGAAACCATTAAACAATAACATCATTTAGGTTTTGAGTTATTGCAACTGTAAATACATTTATTTAAGTGTAAATATATTTAATATGTACATTTATTAATAAAAACATAAGTTTTCTTTACCTTAAGACAACAATGGATGAAGAATGAGGCACTCCGTTACAAAAAGCTTTTGAAAGTGAGACATAATCTTTATTCAAATCAACAATCTGTCCCTGATAAGTTCCAATTTCTTCAATACATTTCACAGAGACTGTGCAGCCCACAAACTGTTCTGACATTTTGTTTACCTGTTCATAAATTTAAAATTATAAATTAAAAGTGTTGCTTCATTGTCAACATTCATCTTTAATAAAATTATTATTATATATGAGTGATATTTTCACAAAGAATTAGTAAAACATTATCGATGAATACGTTGGAAATTATAAATCAAACATTATGGAAAATCGACACTGATCGGAAAAATGGAAAAAATACAAACCTAATGCAAGTGATACGTAAACTCGAATGTCTTTTTAAAACGATTATGTATGCTGCCTAACAGTTTCGTAATTAACTTAAAATCCTGTTATTATTTTGAAATTAGGAAGCATAAAACATATGTAACGATACATTCATGAATGTCTAATAACGGACATCAAATTTCCATGCATTTTCATTCTTACTCTAACCGCGCACGGTTTATAGAGGACTACACAACACGCTTCACGGAAAACAGGCGTAACTTCATAACATTGGCGTAATAGTATCGATTTCTCCCTATGAAAAAGAACTAAAAATTGTCCAGTCTTTACAACATTATTATCAATATTCTTCACGGCATCAGACTCAGTACTAAATAAATGTCCAATTCGTAAAAAAGAAGTTAAACATAATATTTACTCATGTGTCTAAACAAAGGAAAGTGTACAGTTATAAATGGAAGTTTTATTTTTGAAGAGAACAAATAAAGTCACTGAAACTACTGGATCTTGCGTATTTGTTTACAACTTCCAATTATATCCCAATTAGAATTTAAATTTGGAAATTTAATAATAATTTTGTTAGATAGGGACAAAGTTCGTACATTTTGTGATAATATCGATTAAAGCAGTATGTAGATCGAAATGCATTCTTGTACTCGTTTTGAACCCCAACAACTATCAATAAAGTTAAAAATTCTTATTCTTTTACATACATAATGTTTACTGTGAAATATTATGATTTCGTTAGGTGCAATCTGCAATAAGAACGTTTTTCAGGCATCAATGTGAAAAACAGGCCAGTAGCATTAATCTTCCTAGTTAGAAAGACATCATTTTTTTAATAACGTCCGGTAAAAGGTTTTATACTCGATTTAAGAATACTCTACAGTTTAAGATTATACATTGTTAATAGTGATTATATATATAAAAATATACATGCTTATGACTCTTTTAAACAAGAAAAATGAATGTAGACTACTGAAGGTAAAGGACATATTTCAAGCGATCGAGACTGGAAAATAGTTGGCGCCGAATGTTAACGTATCTTAACTTTTTTGATTTATATCTCAAATAATTGCTCCCAATTTGCTCCTTCCGAATCTGAAATTGCTCCCCCAGCACCGTTAATAGTTAATGAGATATTCGCAAAAGAAAAAGTAACAATTTGTTATTAACAAAATAGGTAGTAAATGACCTTTTTACACAAATATTATGGTACCAAAAAATTGCTCCTGATCTGTTTTATAATAATCAATAGTCAGATACTCAATAACTTTGCTCGTGAGGCTACATTTTACACACACGGGGTCCCTGGCGCCTCCACCGGTGGTTCTGTGACCCCACGATCTCTCCACACGGGGTCTCTGGCGCCTCCACCGGGGTTCTGTGACCCCACGATCTCACCACGCGGGGTCTCTGACGCCACCGGAAAATTGTTGGCGCCGAATATTAACGTATCTTAACGATTTATATCTCAAAAAATTGCTCCCGATTTGCTGTTTCCGAATCTGAAATTGCTCCCATCGCACTGTTTATATTTAATGAGATCTACGCAAATAAAGCAAAAATTTGTTATCTCCAAAATAGATAGGAAATAGTCTGTGCTGTGGGAGCAATTTCAGATTCGGAAAGAGCAAATCGGGAGCAATTTTTTAAGATGTAAATTGTTAAGAAACACTAATATTCGTCACCAACTACGATGGAAAACTCAGAAGATCCTCAACCAATGAAAAAATTATTGCTGCTACATAATAGTACCGACTAGGTATAGGATAGACCTATCATCTTATGGGACTTCGTGTCTCACGTTCTGAAATACCGATAGTGTAAAAAGTCAGGGATTTTCTGCTGCCCTCTACGTTATGAGAACGGTGAATTTGTGAACTATGTTAAATCTAAGAAGAGACCATGGTCGTGAGCGATTCTCTTCCGTCCGTTCGCTATAAAGTAGACGTATTAGAAAGGAGTCTTGGGTTCGTATCCCGACGGACCTATATTAGTTTTTCTTCGCGTACAAAAAACTTATTGCGTTTAATATTGTTTTTATGGATATGTATATGTATTATTATGTACATTTGAGTAAATTATTTTATTATTCCATTGTTATTACAACAGTTTAACAGTGACAACGAACGCATGCATATTTTCAAATATCGGACTAATAGTATATTTTTATTCTATATTATTACATATAAGTGAGTAATACGTATCAAAAACGTAATCGAAACACAGATTTTTATTACACCACAAACATCGCATAAAAGATATTTCGTTATATTGAGATTTGTAATAATTATGAATGTTGCAAGGAAATCAATATTGATATTATGGAACATATAACGAAATATCACTGTAACACTTAAAAAAGTTTTAAAGTTCCATTTATATCATTGTCCTGTGAAAATGTTCCTACTTCCAGCAACATTCATATTCCAATCAAAGAATTTACAGAATAAGGAAAAGGAATCTAAAGTAATTTTCAGTAGTTCCATACATCTTTATCTCGAATAATTTTCTAAAACGTTCAAAGTACTAGAAATTGTTACACTTTGAATCTCATATCGATTTCTAAAATAATCCTAGTTCGATGTAATATAGAACGTGGTTTTATGAGATAGATTCGAAGTTCGCAGCCATTAGCTCGATATTGTCATCAGTTTACAGTACTTTACCGATGATAATACTCACCACGAGTAGCTGAATATTAACATACGTTCATTATTTAATTACTCGCAATAAATAAAATTTTTGGAAGTAAATAACGTGTAAGTAAATTCATATGTAAAAATGTACCAATTGCCAGAAAGTAATTGTTCGTGCGTATTAAAATTCTTACAATAGGCAGTAAAACTATTCACACTCCCATATAAATTATAAATATGTAGATGTTAATGAAAGCAGTGTATATATTCTCCCACATGTAGATTTGATAAACTATTTATGAAACTACATCTATTCTGAATTTATTTGTTACAAATATACAAATGTAAAGCAAGATATAAAAACGAATAAAACAAGAACATGTAAAAGGTAACATTAGTAAAATGTCCATTAACGATGCATTTAGAATAAATTGTCTTGTAGTTAAGTGAAAAAATATATACTTTTCCGTTTCATATTTCATGACTGTTATATTTATCCCTTAACCTTAAACTGAAGCATCGGATATTTTTATTCTCATGAAATCATATAGATACACGTAATATGAATGGAATATATAACACTTCATTTGTGCTAATAATACTCAGAATTCATGCTTTATCGGTAACGTCGGGTATTGACACTAAAATGGTAACAGGGGCTACGTAGTCCTGTGAACGTGGGACAGAAAAAAGCATTGGGTGATAGGTCTATTCTATACCTAGTCGGTGATAATAGTCCTTTCCATACTAAACAAGTTCTGTGAATAAACCTTTCTGATATCTCTAAAAATAACAGAGATATTAAGATGACCGTAAAATGCGTATTTCCAACCCACTCCATATATTGTTGCATCTTACAACTGTTTGTCGCATCGAGCAGAGAGCACGGGAGATTGAGGCTCGTTTATTGTACTATTCCTGGAAATCGACAATAAAGGAGCGCCTACCATATGACGTAATACCTAACCTCTTTTATGCAGCAACAATATTTCGTTTGCTCCTCGTTAATAAGTTGTTATTGAGATATCTGACTATTGACTATTATAAAACAGGTCAGGAGCAATTTTTTGGTATCATAATGTTTGTGTAAAAAGACCTACTACCTATTTTGTTAACAATACATTTTTGCTTTTACTTTTGCGAATATCTCGTTAACTATTAACGGTGCTGTGGGAGCAATTTCAGATTCGGAAAGAGCAAATTGGAAGCAATTTTTTGAGATATAAATCGTTAAGATACGTTAACATTCGGTGCCAACTATTTTCCGGTGATCGAGTTAGTGGGACATCTTTTATTTATTTGTAGCCGATTTATTCAATACTATTTTTCGTTTCCTGATTTCAGTTGGGCGAAGTATAGTAAACAAGGCAATGAAAATCAATGTTATTATATAAATCTTTGGTTATTTTATGTATCTTTTGCCCGATTTACCACTCGAAGTCGAGCATAATAAATTAATAAACCTTTCTTCGGTCCGGCTTACTGTGGAAAGCTTGCTAGCTATATCCCCACTACGTCTGCATCTGGAGAAGGGGCTCGTGCAAATGACCTTATACTGGGAGAGAAACGAGTTAACGGCAGATTAATCGTATAATTATTGAAGTTTTTATGAATTTACGATTATTTCATATTTTTCTTCCCAACCCCGTTTTAACTGTGTTTGAATAATTTTTGATATGTTATATTAGAATCTTTTAAGTCATTAAAGGATTTCGAGGTAATACACATATAAAATGTTAATTATGATAATTTTAAGAACTGCTGTTTGTAAGCGTTAAATTATAATTTTATACTGAATGTTGTCTAAGAAAATATTAAACAAAAAGTAATACAAGTGATATAAATTTATGTTTTCAGAATGAAAGTGCTGTATTCAACTGTTTATACAAGTGTTACGAATTCGCAATTTATTTAACATCATTTGAATACTTTTTACTTGATCTATGATTGACGTCTTATAGTTCAATAAAAGATTGTTTTAATATATAGGAAAAAATTTATTTGTATGTTGTACAAAAGTACTTAATATAAATACAAAATGTATGAACAGTATTTCACATTCACAGAATGTTATAGTAAATATATACACATAACTGTCCAAAGAACTGTTTTGAACATATAGATCTATTTTTGTTAATTAAAAGCTATTTTTCACTATGTTTTATCTTAATTTACAGACTATTTAAATCTATTTCCTTGCACTTAAGATTGTTTACTGTATTATATTTTAACTTTTCTGAAATTGTTATGGCACCAAACAGATTTGTGGAGAATTGCTTGTAATCTTCCACTAACTTATACATTTGCTTGTTTATGTCTGTACATTTAAGTCCATTCTCAATACTCTTGTGCAAAATGTTCACTCTATCCTCAGTAACAGGAAACTCTTCCAAAATCTGCAATTCTTCCTTTAAAGATGCATTTAAAATAGTAGCCTGTAACGTGTACATAAAACTAACTTTACTGAATAGTTGTTACGCATGTTAAACACATTTCTACTGTTTATAAGTACATACTCTTTTTGCCCTTTGTTGTAAGTCCTCCAACCTTTGTTTTATATTTTGAAATTCTGTATCAGTGTATTGTGTCCTCTGATACTTGTCCTCTTCCAACAAAACATTACTTGGCACAGCAATGTATTTATTTACAATATTCTAAAGAAAATCACAGACATCACACACATAGTAGTAAATAGAAATGTTTTCTCATTCTCTTGACTACATTAAAGGATTACCTGAATAATTCTTAAATGTGATAATGCTGCTTTACAATATGCCTTTTCTAATTGCCTTTGATTTGACTTAAGCATTGTTACATTCCCAGAATCTAGTTTGTACTTTTCCTTAATTGTATTGCATAGTTTTGCAGCTGTACCACAAATCCTTTCAGAAATAAGAGTTTGCACTATAAAAAGAATGAAAAAGGGACAATAGATTTATAAAGTATATCATACAAAAATAAAATTATTATATTAATGAATTTACAAATTGCTTTATTTATATGTTTCAACAGAAATACAAAAAAATATGCACATAAAAGAAAGAAACGAATAAAGAAGCGATTCAGCTATCTTCGCCAAGTACATTTTTCGTGTAATTAGTAAGATAATTTCTTAATGTCCACGAGTATTTGGTTAAACCGAATTGCAGAAGGAAACAAAAAGAAAAGATGTGATCGGAACCGAAGACGCGTACATATCGATACAAGGTCAATTTTTATTTGCCTCAATTTGTAGCATGAGAAACGTAAGAAAGGAAGAGAGAAGCGTTAGCCTTTGTGATTTACTTTGTCTGCGATGGGCCGGTGAAAGTATTCCAAGCAATGGACGAGTGTGTCTCTAGTCATGATCGAATTCACATGATACCAGAGTGCACCCGTCCAACGATCGGAATATATTGTTCCGCACAAACAGAAAGCCGTACAATCTGAAAAGCATTCGACCGAAAAAATAAAAAACGGCGGCGCCTTACTGGTTGCGTACACGGCTCTTGAATGAAAGCCGAACAGCTGCATCTCGTATTCTTCCCGTTTACGTTTTCGCAACTCCGTGGACGCCATTGCCGTTAATGGGTTCTGAATATACGCGAACTGTACAATAATTTCATCCGAGCACTTGATTACTCTTTATACTTCATTGAAGCAACTTCGTTCTCTCCGATGATCACACCTTGACGTCCGTTGACAAATGAACATGGCGTCTATCTGCCTGCGTACGACAGCGTCCTTTGTCCCTTCGCGTTCGCTAACGCATCCGGATTTCTTCGCGGGACCCGTGTCCGTTTCCAAACCCGACCAATCACGTGCAGGAATCCACCGCCGAAAGTTCGTTATTCTAGCTACACCGGAAAATGCTTAAGCGTCTTTTTAATCATATTCTTCTATACATAATAACGTATCAGTCGTTGTCGCGACAATATTTATTTATCGTGAATTACAAATGTTTCTTTTATTATGCGCTCGGCATCTTGTATTTTATGTTATTAAATCAGTTTACCGCGAAGTCGTTTCGCAATTTTGTCGGCAGATGGCGTAGCAGCCGCCACTTTGTAACGAACATTAAAACGCAAAATATATTTATGACTTTTTCTTTAACGATAGGATCATTTAAATATTCGATTTGTCAACTAACAATCCCTTTTTATTTACTAGAGTGTTTAATTTTAAGAAACCATAAAACTTATGGAATAATATTACTTAAATAAGTTTTACAGTTATTGTCCAATAAAATACATGCCGTTTTTACCAACGAATAGAAGGTAAAAGATCAGTGGATTATTAGTTAATCATTTGATTAATTTAATTCGATGAAACTTTAATAAATGTTTTACATATTCCAGGGTTGTATTACATTGCTAAACAGAATTTTAAAAACAGGGAAATTATGTAATAACTGTTCGGTTTTGGTAAAAGTAACTGAAACCTAATAGACCCTTTAACAGAATAAACAAATTTCTGTTTGATTTGAGTTTCCGTAAATTAGTCCAGAAAAATCTATATTTCTATAAACATTCGTAGACTTCCGATTGACATTGGCGTTTGAAAATGATTCTATAAAATTTTTATTTTGCATAAACGTACTCAGATTGTAGTTAGAAAAAATTAATTCACAGAGCATATTCTACTGAATGAAAATATTACTATAGATGTTGACTTATTTAAGTTTCACTGAGATAGTCGTTGCGATAACCGTGAGATGAAAAGTAAGGTCATTGTTTATTATCATGGAAAGGGAAAAAGGCCTCTGTTCACCTGGCGGATATAAAATTCAAATATCATTTGATACGGGCTATCAGTAGTTTAGGATGCAAACACCTCCTTCACACAAGGTTCACCTAGCTCATTATTACGTGGGGCATAGATCTAAAATAAAAATTAGAAAGCAATTCTAATTACGTGACGAAGTAATTAAAGAAATTGATTTGTGTGCATTACTTAATGTATATTCTTTAACATGATCATATTACTTACTATTATACTTATTATCACAACTATTATTATCGCAAATGTAAAAGTTTATGTAAGTGGTGTTTCATTTACAACAAAGTATTTGATGATGTCTCTATTCAAACATATTTTTCTTCGATCCCTTTTGTGGTCCCCTTAAAACCATGAAACTTTTGCTTGACCCCATTTTTTTCCCACAGAATAATATTTACGTAAACCTGAGTGATAATTTCAGGTGGCTCACCCTGTATACAAGGATATTTTCATAAATATGGAATACCCGTGCGATATACCTTCACTAATGACATCACCAGAATTTTTTGTACGAGTGTGACTCATTCGGTTGATAACTCATATAGCTGCGAACTATTTTTACGTTTGATGCCTTTGAGCGCAGTGCAAACTGCTTTTTTCTTAGCAAATTAATCATGTTGAATGAGTAGAACGCTAAATTTAGTGCAATCTTCCTGGATGACGCTGTTACGGGCTTCGGGACTTTTCTGACCTAATTATGTTTCCGTTACATTAAGACTACATATTGCGTCATACTAATTTTTCCTACAAATGTCATTTTGTAAACTTCAAGTAAGTTTATTATATATCGTTTATGTTAATCTAATTACAATTCGATACATGTGACACTATAGAATATAGATGATCCTACACATTATTACAATATTCTGACGTTTCTTACATAGTGCTTTTAACAGTCAACATAAAAGCGTTTTATTTCCAATAAATTGTATTTCATATTTTATACCAAGATATAAGGAGAAGTAACATATTTCTAATGCGTTTCTAATCAATGTGCTTGTTTAATCCGTGTTCAACTGATGTAGGGCTATTTTGACCTAATGACGATGATCGCCATCTTATTGTTCGTTCCAAGATGCAAAGCGCTTACTTGAAAGCGTCAAACAACGAAAACAATGTTCGTTAGTAAAAGTCCAGCAACAATTATGACTTTATGTGTCATTTTATCTGAAACATAATAAACGCTCAATGCACGTATATAAATATGGACCCCACGGCCAGAGTGTATTAACTTACATTATTCACACTTTAGAAGAGAGCAAATCAAAAGTGCAAAAACCTTTGGAATCGTTTAACCTACCCTCGAACTATTGAATGGATTTAAGACAAATCTCTACATGTAGAAATTATGAACATTGCATTAATTATTCCCTTATGTGATGAATTTTACACTGTCCTAAAAATATGAACTTAATTACCTATAATAAAACCTGGACGACTTAGAACGAAATATAATTTTTACCATCGGAAAGAAACTCTGGGATCCAGAAATTTTTATTAAATTTTTGCAAAATTCTCTCTTAAGAACCATGCATGACAAAAATTAGAATGACCTTGCTTCCACCCACCGTGTCGTGTCCGCAACATTCGCCTTCCGTGAGTTAATCGAAAGTGTCGATAGATATCCGATTGAATCCTCTTTGGTTCGCCCAGTGAAAAAGTTTGTACGAGGAAGCGAATGCTCTCGTCTCCATTCGACTTGCGCACAATGACGAAGTGAATGGATGCATCGAAAGGGGCTGGCGTTCAACGAAACCGGCCAGGTAAACGCATCGTCCACCAGCGAGCTGGCTCATACTTCATTCGCTTAGAACCCAGCATGCCCATGTAAATTCGTTATTCGCCACGTGTATTGAGCTTTTGTACGCCTGGACAGATACATAAATCGGCGTTTAATCGGAAGTCGTCGGTGTATTCGCTCACTTCGCGTTCTTCGAACGGCGATAAGTTATTAAGCGTATCCCACGCGCTGACATTGAGAATGATTTCTACACGTTGGAATGCTGATTGTAGGTATAGTAGGTTCCGGATTACCGCGACGGGAATGGGACTGCTGCGATACACTTAACCGGGGACCGGCCCAATTGGATTTGATCTATTTTGGACCAAGAGATTGAATTATTCGTCAGGTGCACTGAGTGAGAGTGATATTTGAGGGTATCGGGTATATCAAGTACACTGGTACTCAGAATTTTATATGTCTGGAGCCTAGAGCCAGAGTGTGTTAAGTCACACTTTTCACACTTTAGAGGGGAACAAATCAAAGGTGCGAAAACCTTATAACTTAGGAACCGTTCGGTAAGAATTGAGCGAGAAACAATCGCTACCTTCGAATTATTGAATGGATTTAAGATAAGTCTCTACATGTAGAAATGGTGAACACTGCATTAATTACCTTTGTGATGAACTTTTCACTCTTTTAAAAATGGAACTTAGTATCATTTTTAGACTATTATATACCTATATTAAAAACTAGACGATTTAGAACGAAATAATTTTTAACATTTTGGCTCTGGGGTCCAGATATAGAAATGCATTAACCTAATTAACGCTCAGACCCTTAAATCGTTATTTTCGAATTAGGAGACTGATATATATGTTGTATCTCGTTATTTTGAAGTCCAAAATATGGATATTAAACAAAACTATTCTTTTTTCATTTTTTTCTTATTTTATTTATGTTTGAAGGGAACACTTGAATTTCTCAATTGAAAATGTGAAGATTTATTTTACATCAGTGAAACTACGGATCTTTGCTGACAAAAGATAGACATTAACCGGCGACAAAATTTGACGCAATTTTATGTAAAATGCGTGTCGCAGCGGTGCAACACTGGACGTTAAAGGGTTAAAAGGTAAAATTTATTTTTCCTTTTGTTTCTTTCGCAAAGATCTGTTACGTAAAACCAACAGAAACGTTGTGCTTTTTTGCCAAGATCTATAATGTAATACCAACGAAAATTTTTTGTTTCTTTTTCCAAGATGTATGTAAAATTTAAACGAGGTCCAGCCAGAGATTTCAAAGACTTTAACATCTGAACCCATTATTTTTAAAAGTGACAGAGTTGTGGTTAATATTTCAGAATTCGTTTATTGTCTTCTGCGTCCCGCAACTGGTTTTGTTTGAAACGATTTTATTGCGAGTACGAAGTCCATGTGCACATAAAGTGTTCATCATCAGTCATTTGCTTTCACGTAAGGGAGCGATGATTTCATCTTCTACTCGTCATTTTATTTTTCCTGCAAACAACCGCATGGAGCTTCACCTGCAAATGCAATATACACGACGAAACAACGCAACAATACCGTTCGAATAAATAAAAAATACTAAATTTCGTATTTATACTCTAGCATTATCTAATTACAGTTCGTTCAATGAAAATTAATTCCGTCTAGCTCTTTTCCGAGTTAAAATACGACCGCAAACGATTAAATGTTAATGCGGGTGTGTTAACGCATCCTTGACCTAAATCATTATACTGCTCGCTTTATTTTTCTTACAGGGTGAGTAGATATCGTGATTTCTGTTTCTGTTCTCTCAATCAATCCGTTCGAATGGAAACATTGTTTGTCTTCGATTCAAAAGGGCTTGACGGTACCGGACACGCAGAGGGCTCGTAGGCGTGTGTATGAGTGTCCCTCGATGTATGTACACAATCGCGGGCGCGTGGTAATGTTCGGCCCGTCCGTTCTGCGCGCAGCCGGTCGGCGCAGGTCCCCGTAAAAAGCCGGGGGCGCGATTCCGTCGTCGCTGTTCGGATACCCGCGCGCGCGTTCGTTCACTCAGTTTGTATTCAGTATCCACCACGTATCGGTGGATACGTTCGGTTCTTAATTCAGTTCAACGATCATTCGTCGCGAGCCGCCGTGAAATAACCGTCCAACGTACACGAATCCTCTCCTGACCGTGGTGGTAACAGTCGAGTTTCGAGCCGTAAACAGTGCCGATTTTGTGCGATTTGTTTTGACAGTGGTTTTTCAAACGAGCAACCGGGACGATAATGGTGCCGATGCGATTTATTGGTCTACTGGTGGTGCTTCTCGCCGCGCAGGGTGAGTTTTGTTTGAAAGATTGTTACCAGACAAGAGTGACGTGTATACGTGTCACTTTTTTATTTTCTTCGGTTAATCGATCTGCAATGAGACCACCTGTTGCTTTTAAACGATGGCATTGATGTTTGGTCTGGTATTTGTTTTTAATTTGACACTAGTGGTGGTGTACGCATGAATGTTAAATTTCATCGATTTTATGACTGTCGAAAACTCAAGTTCACCGATATAATCTGTTATTTGTGAATTTATTATTTGGCATACTAAAGAGTACGGCACACGTGTTTAGTGCTCTATCGATTAATCGAATTCGAGCGAGATGATTCGTTCGATTCTATCGATGGTATCGTCACTGATATGTGTTTTTAATTTGACTAATATAGTATGCGCAAGGAATAGTAGACACACGGGGGAGTCGTGTCGCGAGAGGGATTCAATTAGCAAATTATATTTAGATATAAGGTTAAGTAGAATGCGCGCGGTTGCGTGGGCCGATAGAGGAGCGTGCTAGGAAAGTTTAAAGCCGGCAGGATCGAATCCACTTGCACGATAATTTCGCATGCATCACGAATAACTAACAGTTACCTCACCGTACGTTCCGTATAAGCAATTGCAACAATAGTTACCATTGTGGGCAGCATCGGCCGGGCAACTCGTAATCGTTGTTGCGGAAGGAACAATTACTCGGTCTTAAAAACGCTTAATTACTCTTCCTCGTACGGTGAACCGGCGCGAACTGCGTCCACCGTCCGATGAAGCTGTAATTACGTGTAACTCCAATTGTTGTCCCCATACCGAGTACTTTGGGGCGAGCCCGTATTATACGAAGTATTATATACATTATATATTTAACATGTTATGTATAGGTTGTTTCCAAAATAAGAGGCTAAATTTTATAAATATATTCTACACATCGTAGTTATCAGAAAATATATAAACATAGATCCGTAAATACATTATTTCTAAAATACATCGTTTCAGAGTTTCTTATTGAAATGTTCAAAATTTCACTTTTTTGTGCAAGAATGAACGCTTTATAGTTTGTCACCTTTCTACGGTTATTAAATAATCGGAATATCCCTATTCTGACAGATTAGATAAACATAGATAATTTTACTTTCATACTTTCCCGAAACTCTTAGTTTTCCCTGTGTATATATACCAAGTGCTGTTGTAGACAAGAACATAAAAAATTGTGAAAGGAAATTTAGAAATGGGTACTTGGGTAATCGGTTACACGGTTGCCTACACAAGGGTGAAGGTAACGATCACAATGTTGTAATTATTAAAATTCATATTATATCTAGAACCTTCGTCTGACAAATTTATAATACATAAATATGTATCTAACATTAACATAGCACATATTTTTAACATTTTTCCTCAGTGCTGTTCTATTTTTTGTAATCTTATCAGTGAGAATAATTTTAGAATTTACGTCGGTTCATAATATAATACTTTATCTTTTATTATTCCATTGAACAAGCGTCCCTGAGCTCGTGCAGTATTTTCGTTGACCATACACGCTCGTTGATTCTTTGTACTTCAATTTCGCTTATTGATTACTCACCACGCGGTCCAATTTAGTTCATCGTCTATGCGACCACAGCATTGAAATCACTCACTATACGAGAGGAAGGAACAATTTGCTAGCGCCCACGCTCTATATCTAAAATAGGACTTTTACTATAAAATATCGGTGTCGTGCTCACGTGTTTTCAAAATACAAATTCTTAGAACATTATCGGCAGCAAGTAAATACCTGCTTCTAGATTACGGAATGATAGTCGGTTTTGAGGCTCCTTGCTCTGAATCGAAACGAAATCCAACGGGTTCGATCGTTGAAAAATTCTAAACAAATTCTAAAATATATTCTCGTCATCTGTAACGTAGCTTACTTATGACCAGACTGAGGATGTTTATGAAAACTACAATTTTTATAGATTAACCTTCACCAATCAGGTATTAACAGACATTTCTTTTCTTCTTTTATCTTTCTTTTGTCTCAAGAAAATTAAAACCATAACATCACCAAACGTTATTAAACTTTCTACTTCGTTACAATTATTTAATAACGTTATTAAAGTCTCTATTTCATTACAATTACCCCGACCAAATATGCTATAAATTTTTCAAATTCGCCGTCTAGTCATAACTGATCCCGAAATAGTTAGCATATCTGGTACAGAAATCATTCATCCCCATAACAAATCATTAAATCAATTGTTTATGTGACTACATTCTACCAACAAGATCATATATCACTGCAATCTTATCAAGCGAACGTCTCAATCAACGCAAAAATCACAAGTCCAATACCTCCTACGTGATAAAAAAAAATGTACAAAAGAAGTCTACGATCCCCGATAATACCGTACCTTTATCTCTCGCCCAACGAATCTTTCATTCACTCGAGAAGTCAACGACGATATACGCCCGAGATCCGGCTTCATCTGCATAAATCCTTCGGTAAACAGCAGTGAAGTGGCGTTTCACTTCTCCGCCCGTCTGGGATTTGCCACCCGGCGAATGATCGTTCGGTTCCATGCTGGGGCGTAGAGCTGGTTAATTGTTTCATTAACATTCCCTGTTGAACTACATTCCGTCGCGTAATTTAAATCGCGCGCCTTCCCGACGTTCGATCGGCATGCGCGTGAAACTGGAGTTTACGCGCGAGCCGCATAGTTTTCGTCGCTAATCGTGAGCGATTCCGGTGGACCGTGCCAAAATTTCGAGTAGCAATCCTGGTGGTTTCGACTTGAGAAATATATTTTTATTTACGACGCGTTACTTGCGTAACACGATGGATCTTCTGACCGTGCATTCCTCTGGTGGAATGTAAGATACTCCAGAAGATGATCCAAAAATGTTAGGTAAAATGAATCAACCCTCTGTAGCACGAATTTTTTTAAAGAAGGTAAAGTTTGCGAAATCAGCGTGTATTGATAGGGCAAATAGAAGTTAGTAGCTAAAACAAAAACTAGATAGAAAGATACAAGTACTGAAGAGAAGAAAATATGTGAAAGGCGAGGTACAGGCTTAAGGCTGATATAATAATATCGATCTTGATTTATGACATAACTACAACTTTCATCTACAATCTGATTTATAGTAATTACATCACATTACTCGCCATATTAGGTTCGCTGTATCTTGTGTGTTATCGACATCATTCTTTGCAATGTTGCTGTGTGTAGCGCGAATTTCCCGATAACAAATAATTACTAATAATAGAACATTTTTATTATATATATTACGTTCTAGTATACAGGGTGATCAAAGAAAGGGTCTAAGATTTTAGTAGGTAAGAGTTCTCATCGAGAGGAGCAAAACATGTCTACTTTCTCTAATTAACATAGATCCAAAAGTCAATCCTTTAAAAAAAAACGATACAAATTTTTTTTCACGTTTGTTACAAATGTTCCATATGTCTCCCTCCAATTTCAATACAAAATTCACATCTGCGGATCATACATCAATGTACATTCTTGGATATTCCTTATTTGTCATACAACCTTGAATTAATGTACTGCTAAACCAATGTTTCTGTTCACATTCAATATGTTGCAAGGAGACTTTACTTACGTCATCCAACGTTCGTAAATATAAAAGTTAATTTTACACAGAAAAGATTGATTTTAAGACCTTCTTTATTCCTCTCTGGAAGTACTATAAGCCCCCAAAATCTTTGCCCATTTCTCTAATCACCCTGTACATATATGGATAAAAGACGAGATTCAACATAAATACTTATTAAGTCCAAGGTACTAACTACGTTACTAGGTTTGCCTTCCTTCATTTTCTGCTCTACAGAACAAAAATATTCATTCAAAAACCCCATTAATCGAAGTAACAACGAAAGTGTCTCCATGCTTTCGAAACCGTCCACCGAAATTACTCACACCGTGTTTACCATAATCAATAACAACTTATCTCCCGCCGATAAAACCCCGAAATTCCTGAATAATATCAGCGATCAAGATTAACCCAGAAACCGGGGCAAGAGTCGCTATCCGCTTCCAGCAGTGAAGTATCGTTCGTAATCACATATTGTTTAGCATAAGTCCCGGGCGAGATCCTCCGGGAGAGATCCATTTCTTGCACGGCTGGTCCAGCTGTTGGCAAATTCCATTGAGAGAAGAGCCCCACTGCGAGAGAACGAGATTCAGACAGAAAGAGAGATAGGTAAAGAGGACGAAGCGCGAAGCTCGTATCGCGAAGCAAGCTGGTTCACAAAGAACCGGTGGCAGAGTAGTCGGCGGAGGCTGCTTGAATGGCCCGAAAATAAGATTTGGTGGCCCGTGTCCAGCCGCGGCATTCACCGATTTTTGGTAACTGGCCTCTTCATCCCTGTTGCACTCCCGGAGGATGTTCTATTTTTTCCCTTAATAATAGGAGGGCGGCTTCTTCTTATCCCCGGATTGCCCGTACAGGCCTACGACTCGTTTCTTCGTACGTGACGAAGATTCCGAGTAGTAGAGACCCGGAGGCATCCTCTGTTCTGGGATCGATCCCACGAATTCAGGATAGGAAAAAAAGAACCGGTACTAACGTAATGAGTCTGCCGTTTTATTCTTTTCTTCTTCGTCTCCTACTGTATTCTTTGCTCACCGAAATGGTTGATCGACACGCATACAACCCGCGTAAAAATTCTTTTGATAACATAAAATTTCAATGTTTTTTAGATTTCAAAATTAGGATAGAAGAAAAAAGAACCATTAATGTGTCTGCCGTTTTCTTTTCTTTTTCTTCCTCTTCTACTGTATTCTTTTGCTCACCGAAACGGTTGATCGACACGCGTACAACCCGCGTAAATTTTCTTCTGATAAATATCGAAGTTCAATGGTCCCTGAGATAACGAATGATAACGAGCTTCCGATAATATTGGAATACCTAGTGGAAAGTGTACATTGTGCTGCGCTACCGGGGGGAAAATTTTTGTCGCGGTTGTAAGGGTATCCCCGTTTATCGGAAAATTGTGAATCAAGCAACGACCGTTGGAA